ACAATTTAGTAGGTTCTTGCACTCACAGCCGATGTTATATTTGGATATATGCGTATCGCACGATCTGACAGGCGACTCGCAGTCTGAATGTCAGCCGAGATATCTCACACTCACACACTCAGGGACAGACAGATATAGTACAGGTTAAATTATACATTTCGCGGAACTCTTTGTAAGTATGAATATATAACAATGTACATTTCACACAGCACCATCTCAAACTAAGTAGAGATACTGTGGGTACTAGACGACTGATGTATGACTTAATATGTATCAGGACAATTCACACAGCGCCATCTAGTCCCAAGCAAGCAAGCAGAGCGTATGGGTACTAGACAAATGATATAAATACATACGTCCATTTTTCTTGTAAATACATACATAATATACATAGATAGCATCCAGACTGATACAGACAATCATACTCATCAGTACAAATGTTTGTAACTTGGTGAGGAATCGAACCCGCGACCATTCGAAGTAAGACGGTGTGCTAATCCACTAGACCAACGAGTCCATCATATAGGAAACATGACCACTTCGCCATTTATTTATTTAACTAGAAACTTTCTGTCATCCGTTAGAAATTTTACTTCAATTAATATAATCAAAATTACAAAATTTTCATTGACTCATATCTAACGAACGAATCGTACTTAACGTTTTTATTGTAACATTTAGACTTTGAGTGATTGTAACATAAAAATAAATAATTGATTTTAATATGGATAAAATAGAAAATACTATCTTGACTGACTTTAAAAATACTTTCAAATAAATAGATAGGCTACATTATTAACGAGTGATTTAGTCCATAGTTATATTCCAAGCAAGTAACGCCGCGGGATATAGCTAGTTATCTGTACTCTATCTACTAAATGATAATTATAAAAAATAAGCAGTCATTCACTTTATGTTCCATACGTTTATTTAAAGTAACTAGATATTAAACTTTAAATAAATATAATCATACATATATGCTCACGTATGCTGATCTGGACTACTAAATACCAGGGGCACATGACAAAAATACAGGTGTTCAAAATGTACTTGGTAGTCTGGTGAAGCGTGAATCAGTCCGTCCCACTGGCCATACTAATGACCGATACGGCATGTTTCCGGCATAAATTCACAATTATGTATCTGTAAACGTGCAAACTCGCAAATTTGACGGCTGAGACCACTTAGCCGCGTGTCCTTCGTGAGGGAGATTATATCTCGACCGTCAGATAACATCTATGAAGGCACTAACGTCCTCAAATGTACCACGTGAGTGGCATCACCGATCTTAGTACCCTCAATAAAGTTTAAACGATAATCTTTTGAAAGTGCTACAGCACCTGAAAGTGTTGAGAAACTCTTTTTGTATTAATATATTTAAAGTTTTTTATTGTCTGACAAAAACGATGTTGTTTTGACTTCTTCGGTTCTGGCGCATTGGAGATGTTTGCAGCAGATTTGAAGATATGCAATAGAAACGCATCACTGCTGTGTAGAGTTAGGAAGAGTGCAAACGGCTTCCTAAACACCATAGCAAATATGTCGGATTGTGCTCTCTGGAGATACTGCACTGCTGCGGACCCAGTACTTCTGGACGTGGACATAGACGTAGCTACTTGAATTGAAAGGATAGTAATTTAATAACATAGTTTATAAGTTGTTTAATAATATGGGACACAGTCACCTAGAAATAATAATTGCATTTTATAATGTCTAGTAAGACAAATCCAATATCGTCTACTCAGCACTGCCGTGTTTAAACTGTGTCACCCCACCTAACATTTTCCTATTGTCATTTAGTATATATTTTTCTCATCAATATTATTATGTACATATAGTCAGTCTATTATCATCTATAATATACATCGTCTCGACTAACAACATCGTATCATTTACCCGCAACAACTAACATAATATGGATGGATATCCGAATTAAATTAATAAATAAATAAAAACTATATAGATATAATAAAGACAATTCTATGTAGAGTATATATGTCACTTCACTGTCTCCACAACTACCATTAAAATATTTATCCCTTATAAAGTGTTTTACTACATATTTCTACAACAGAAAGCCGCCTTAAGTGTCTATATATTCACACATAAAGCAAAAACTTTGCACCCCTTTTTACGAAACTTGTGCGGATGGAGGAGTATGAAATATCACACACTTGTAGTGAAGGAGTGCAGAATGTTAAATTATTTATAAAAAATACATTAAATCAATAAAACACATTAGACACACTACCATGTATTTGACATACACACGTATATACTCTTTTGTTTATTATTAAAGTCTGTGCTCAAATTGAGAATAGAATATTGTTTGCCTTTAATATTATTTGTTTATAGTCTTACTCAATGTTAGATTAATTATGGTCGAATTTCAACCACTGGGCGAGCACTAGTAAGATTTAAATATGAGCCTTAGTACAGATAAGTAATATTATATTATCCGTGATACAGATAAAATAATATATTACTATAGTATTCCATATGGATCCTATTATGAACCCTAATACTATAACTATGTAATATTATGTTATCTGTGCTATAACAAAGTAACTATCAAAGTTGACCAAAAACATATGTCAGTGCTGTTCCCGCGACTTTTTCTGCATTTCTGAAGCCAATAACAGCCAAAGTCGCGAGCCAAACAGTTAGTAAACAATATAAGCACTTTTGAATATTCATATATTTTTTATTCTATCACTCATTCTGATTCTGGATTTCATTATTTTCTGTATTATCGTAATTCCAAGTATGAGTTTAAAGACATGTAAACATTGCATAGTATGTTATAAATCTTTATGAATGAGACTACTTGTCATTCTGCGTGAGATCTCCTATACTATAGTGCACTGGAGGGTGGACTAAGCGTCAATATGCACTCTCCCAGACTTTTATTTATAGCACGGTGTCTTTAAACATCACAGAGGTGTCGTCTTCGGAATACATTAATATAGATACATTCGTTAGACAATTGCATTTATATACACTTACTATCCGTCCCCGCGACTTTAAACGTGGATTATTAGAATTTATAATGCTACAATTCAGCCAAATTGTAATTTTATTACATGTAAAGAACTATTCTGTCGAACTGTTCAGGTCACAGGCACTGATTAGATTATTTATTTTTACAAAAAGTGTAATAGCATATGCAGAGAATATATGTAGTGACCCTACATAATATATTCTCTACAGAATTTAAAAATTAATCTGTATTTTTGTAAGTATGAGTACAAGCTCATTTAATTACGCCGACCCCAAATAAATGGGATAAGGAAGAAGCAGATAACGATATACAAGCCTATTTAAGAGTAAGAGCTGGTTTCTTGACAGTTCTTCTTAGTACGAACTGACAGTAGATTTGACATATCATAAGAGTCTGTAATAAACTTACATGAATAAAGATGTTTTGATTTGATTCTTATATGTATCACGTCACTTGACAATAGATGACTTTGACTAATATTCTACTTTTGGAGTTATGAATTAACTTGATGATATACGATTATTATATATGTATTCTCCCATTTGATTCTCTCTTTGTCTTTAAATAATATTCATTAATTTTCCATTCAATTTTGATTAGTGAGTATTCCAGCAAATCGTACACTGATACTTACTCAATAACACATAAATATAATAGAAAATTATATAACTCACAACAACATTGAAATTATATTACTAATGTTATAAACTCGGAAGTTTGTGAGTGTCGATGGATGGATGGATATTTGTTAATAATAATATAGCTTTTACATCAGAATAAGACATAGGCTATATATTTGAGGCGGGTGAAACCTCGAGCAGAGCTAGTTAAATAATATTTAATGGACAGACAAAGTGCCTCTGGACATTTACTATAGTAGTAATACATTGTGTCAGTACGCCTTTTCATTCTCAGAATATCGTAAAAGGCGACTAGGATAATAAGGAAAACTAGAAATAAACATATGCCGAGTCTGCTATGCATGGTAATAGTAGGCTAAATCATGCCCAGCAGTGGGATGACCATTTGGGCCAAGGTTGAATATACTACAGTCTAATTGACCGAAATGCCGAATTTTTTCAGTAATAATAGTTCTGATCATGTAATTGTTGTCAATAAATATTTTTCTTGATCTGTATTAAATATCAAATAACCAATTTCGTCCTCTGTGTACCATTATTTTGTTGGTTCTTATTTTTTATATAACTAGAATGGTAAACTAGCTAACGGTCCATCTGACAGTAAATAGCAACTATCGCCTATACAGATTAATAGCACCACCAGCCCTTCCTTAGGATTAAGATGCCATGCTTCTTAACCTTAATTCAAACACATTATACAAATCCATCTAGCTAGCTAGGTGGCCACTGTAATATGTGCAAACAGGTTTCAAATGACGGTAGGTATAGCCTACACTTCGAAAAAGAGCCTCCGACTCCGGCAGGTACACCGTCTGATTTTTAGTGGCTAGAAATCCCTCAGACCACTTCGCCATCCCTACGCCGGGGAGAAGCACTTTGGAAATTTTTTCCACACGTAAAAAAAGATAGAGGCTATACTATCGTCTCTATTTTTAAAATAAATTAATTTTCTAAGAATAGATCGGTTTTGTGTAAGCCAAAACCGAAGCTAATAAGTAAACAATATTCATATGCCGTAAAAACGATATAAAAGTGAAATAAAACTTAATTTGCAGTTAAAATTCACAACTTAGCCGTACTGCATCAACTGAGTCAAGTCAAGTTAAACAAATCGCAAAAGTTCAAAACAAAAAGTTCAACGGTTTACCTAATGGTAGAGATACGTGTCGAGCATTCACCAGATCTTCACTAGGATGTCCAGTTTCCCATAACGGTTGGAGAGCACTGTCGAATAGTGTAAAATGACGATGTAAACGTGCAAGGCGCAAGCGAACTGCCGTGGTTTGAATTTCAATTAATCCAGATAGTCTGGAGTATATAATGCGAAGTTTGACTGTAGCCAACACAATTCTAATAGCTTTATACCGCACAACACCCTTTGGTGGAAGGGTCCAAGTGTATCAACGTAAGACAGAAACATGAAGACAATCATCTCATTGGTGATGTTGACGTGCGTGATGTGGCAGACGATGGCGTTTCCTGGTTATTATCCGTATTATGGATCTGATATGGATTCCCGTGAGTACGCCTTTATTTATTATAAGAATACGTTTTCCACAACTTATAATCAATTATACATAGCACTATAGTACAGCAAAATTCAATGCTTCTATAAAAATAGATAGTTTCAATTAGAATTTGATTACTACTGTAAGTATTTTTATTTCTTTTTTTCTATATTTCCTACTGCAGGTAGCACTTATTCAAATTCTTACACATTTTAGAGACAAACATCTAATAGCGTCATAATAAGTAATTATAAATATATTGTTCAATTTTATTTCAGTTTCATTCGGTTCGAGCGACAACACTCGCGGCGGAATGGTACTAAGTCGTTACTACAACCCATACTACAACCCTCGTGCAGTCGGTGGTGGTATGGCCGCATTTATGTTCAGACAACCTGAAGGGAAATTCCAACAAGCGCCTTCTAGCCAATACTATTATCCTGATAGGCGTCGTCAAACTCAACCAGAAATAAACTACGCTCCACCTCAACAGAACGAAGTGTATTCTTTTCCGCAATCACCAGAAAAACCTACTGTAACTGAGGCTACAGATATTGCTGATCCAACTGAAAGAACGGAAATCTTTCCAACTACATCCAGAGCAACAGCCACGCCCGAATTTACTGAGCCCGAAATAGAAGAGGTCGAAGAGCCAGTTAAAAAGACTAGGAAAAGAGTGTCAAAGAAAAAAGAAGTAAAGAAACCTATTGACGATGATGACGAAGATGATTATGCACCGAGGTTGCCTGCTTCAGCATTATTCCCAATGTTCTTTGGCTATGGTGGAAGATCTTCCGGTGGAGCGCCAGGAGGGGCCACAGCTATCGCAAACGCTTACAGCACTGGTCGTGGTGGAGTTGCTACCAGTCACGCTACAGCGTATGGAATCCCAACAAGGCCAGATCAAAAATTACAACCTTAGATATAATTAATTACCTGTTCTCTACATATAATTTTAATCGAATCCTTAGGTTCGCTTTGAGTGTAACCTGTCTATGACATTGGGCTTAATTCTGAATTAAAATTCGCTAAAACTGCCTAGGTTTCAGAATTTTTACATTACCAAATAAAGTTTATGAATAACATTTCAAAGCAAGAACAAAGTATTAAAAAATACAAAAAAAAAATTAAATGTAATAAAAAATTTGCAATATTTTTTAAAATTTATAATTAATATAGGTAATTCCATTTAAGAATTCTTCCCATTGTCATTCCATTTTACAATACGTAATGTTGCCATACTTTATGAAGGTTTTAAGTATGTATTTAGTTTCAGGGCCATCTATTGACAATGTTATGATATGATATAGTCGCGAATAGTAAACTTGCAAAAGTACGATTCGTTTATAGGTTTATAGATAATTATAATGTAATTCAACTGTCTAATAAAAGGTGGCGCTTCTTATGAAAAATATATACTATATTTTGTTTTAAAATGGCATACTGCAAATACTCATTTTGTTTATAGTTTGGTTATATTTGTTGTTTTGATAATAAATATTTAATGAGATAGTATTCTAATTTCTTTTTATACCAAGTTAGAGTTTCTACACTGGTCTAGCTGTTTAGCACACCGCTCTAGTTCCGATTGTCGCAGGTTCAAATTCAAAAATCATTTAAATCATATAGGACATTTTAGCCGCTTAAGAACGTCAAATTTTTTATAATATATATTTTTCCCTACCGTTCAGTTAATAAACTCAATTCAATTAGGTTAAACTGGCTTTTAAAAAAAATATTTTTTAAAAGCCAGTTTATTTACAATGTATATTTATATAGGTGTCTATGTATAACATTAAATGAAAATCCCGTGCATGAACAACTATTGCCATGCACCCTCGTCATTCAAGTAATCGTTTAGTGACTAATAGGCTTTGCTCAGTAAATATGATTTAACAGAAGTTTTGAATTTATTTAAGGTATGTAATATTACGTTATGATTATGTTAGTGTGTTTAAGGGTAATTCCAGTACATTATTTAGTATCTTATTGTAAATTTTTATACCTTTCGATCAATTCCACGCACGGTACAATCATTTGTATTCATGATTATAAGTGTTGTAAGGGTCTGTTTGTTTTTTATGTACTCATTTATTATTAGTAATTATTACATACATAGTTTATTTAAAAAAATATCTAAGTATTTATATCAGTTATTTAGTACCTATAACACTTTCTCTTACCTTGGGACGAAGTGATGTTTTGTAAATTATCCAGGAGTATTAATCTTATATACAAAATTCTCGTGTTACAATGTTAGTTACCATACTCCTCCGCTTGCTTTGGCTTGACCGATTTTTATGAAGTTTTATATCCATATTCAGTAGGTCTGAGAATCGGCTACGATCTATTTTTCATACGCCTAAATGATGAGGTCTGTTTTTTTTTTGGAAAAAAAAATAGATTTATTTTATTATAATGTGACAATAAAAATACATAAAACCCCAATTATTCACTCTGCTATCATCAACCCCTATTTTTTAATTAAAAAAAAGAAATATTAATTTAGGTATGTAACATTATGTTATCTGTGATTTAGGTATATGGCAAAACAACGTTTGCTGGGACAGCTAGTGTTTATATATAATTGTAGTTTGGTTTACGTACCAAGAAAGACACCTACTTGTTTATATGTATGTACGGAAAGCCCATATAAAATTGCTATAATAAAGACCCGGATGTGATGTTTTTTGCATTAAGTACCTACTAGTGCATCTTACGTCGTGACCAGCACCCGAGCCAGTTAGTTCTTTATAGAAACACAGTAATTTCCATAAACAGAAACCATATAAATAATTGCAGTAAATTTGCTGTTAGAACTAGAATTATTAATCTATACCAATAAATAAAATAGAAGTATTTGTTTATAATTACAAATTAACAGCTCACTAACGATAACAGCAATGCATATGAATAAAAAATTATTTAAAAAAAAATTGTCTGTATGTCTGTTTGTTCTTGCTAATCTCTGAAATGGGTGACCTAATTTAGACGGAAATTTCACTCGCAGATAGCTAATTTTATAAGGAATAAGGAGTAAAAGTTACACTAAATTAACAATACCTTATTAATTTGAATGGATAAAAGCGTCTATAAAAAACAAAAAACTTATTCTCTCACCTTTATTTAGTAGGAACAATCTGTCTCTGCGTGAGTATCAATCTGTAGTTCTTTAAATTAATTAATACGATTTTCATTATATTTAAAATGAGAATTATTCTTTATTAGAAAAAAATCAGACAATAACAAATTGTCATTATAAGACAATTTCGGGTTCAAGAAATCCATTACACTGCGGTAGTTGATGACAAAAACGTTACAATCATTATATAGTAACATAACTTAGCCATTCAAGTATGAGTAATGAATAATGTTGATATTCGTACATATAAGTGATGACTTATTATGACTTTTGCTAAAGAACACTTTTTATAATACAACATTTGGTTTTATTATTATTCTGAAAATATAGAACCTGACTCGGTTAGAGAATGCGATGTATTAGTGAAATTACAGTTAATTTTACTGCCATATTTCAATGCCTATCCAATCTATCCCTGGTACGGAGGCACAACATATCAGTTCTCCATGCCAACACACGTCACATATTGTGACAGTAACTGTTGCCACTTCCCACCTTTTACATAAAAAAGTAGATGGCGCATGTTTCGTATGTTTCGGAAGAGCATATCTATAATTCTATATTACTTAGAAATAAGAATAATATAGATATTATTCTACTTTACTCTAGTCGTCCAGTGGTCGAAATTTATATTCATTTAAATTATAAGTTTGAATACTATTAAGGTTTATGCAAGTTTAAGGTCAAAAACTTGCATTATTAGATAAATTTCTTTCTCTATATAAACTACAAGTGTGGGAAATTTCTTACATCCCCGTCAGCGCATATTTCGTAAAAAGTGTACAAAGTTTTTGCTTCACATGTTAATATTACGATGATGATTCTGCAGCTGCAAAATGCGTTGTATAGTATTAGGGTTTTGGGTTAAGTCTATTATGCTCGCCCTTTTTCAAAGTTCGCTACCTAGACGCGTAAGGGAAGGAATTGAAGGATATTCTTAGGAGTAAAATTTTCTTAGTAAAATGAGAATTTATCTGCACCCAACCAGGAATTAGAGAACTATAATCAAGTTAAACTTAGTATAATAACAGATAAGTTAATATTACATGGTATGATCTGAGCTAATATAAAAATGCGCACGTAAATTCCACATTATAATTTTAAAACTCGATCGTCGACCACAAAACTAAAAAAACTACATAATGGTTAATACTCGGAACTTGCTATCTTTAGTGACGACATTATAAAACAAGATTAGTGTCGGTCCATCAATAACAACATGTGTTACCATCTCTATTTATTTTTATAACAATGTTGTATGGCTTACTGTAATTAGATCTACAATTAGACCTTATAGATTATACTATATCCCTTTGAATTTTATCCAGATTTATAGTCAGCCAACACTTTTCTGTGAATGAAAGCGTATAATCTTAATCAAAAGTTAATATATTTTTTCATGAGAACTGAAAAGCAAGCATATTTGCACTAAACTCTATCGAGGCAACTCCTGATTAAGAGCTGCCAATACCTAAAGCACTGCAAATATTATATTATAAATTTAATGCATTACATTTTGTCATGCATGAATGATTTTAATATTCTTCCATTAGCTTAGGACCTAAATAAGGATATAGGTCTAAAACTGGAGCCTAAATAGACATAGGATATACATTTAGTGCGAACAAGAAACACACTTATAGAATATTCTAAAAATACAAGTTTTTAAAAAACGAAGGTTGTAAGCCCAGCTAGTCAGGATAAAGCTCATACTTATATAATATCGACGGCTATATCAAGGCCAAATGCCACCTACAGCGCAGTGATTGACACCAATATTACTTTTGGCTAATCTGAAATCAACAAAAACCCATGGTACTCTTAGTTCCGATTCAAAATATATGAGAAACATAAAAGCGCACAAAAACTAATTGTTTTCCCCATGTGTACCTACACTGGTTTTGTATTCGCACGAAACACACGTCTACCTATTAAAATAATGATATAAAAGGATCCATAACTGTTCCATCTTTGTTAGTTAAGTCGCAAAATAGATATGAAGCAGACCATCTTAGGAGTGGCCTTTTGTCTCATCATAGGCTTTGGCGATGCTTCAGGTAATTAATTATTCTAATTGGTTTTTGTTTTTGTACAGGATTTAAGTTTAGTAGACTTGATGACGTAACGTAGATGAAGTTGATGTTTGTAAAGATTTGTTTATTTCTAAGTTTCGATCAGCTCTAACTTAGCACGGGTGTAATTACTGTGACGATCTCTGATTAATATCAAAGACAAAATCATTTACTCATATAGGACGCTGAGGACATGAGGATGTCCTCATACACTAAATGGATATAAATCAAAACAAACACTCAAGGTACTTAAAGAATATAATATAGCCCATATGTCGAATTAATACAATAATATTTGAACGTTTCCTTGCAGACATGAAATCAAATGTTTTCGTTTTTCAATTAGACTAAAACTACACGTATATTCTGTTTTAAGAAAGAGATATTCTAGTTCCTTTTTCTTTTACAGTGAGAGTTCGACGTGGTTACGGCGCCCACGGTGGTGATGGCGGTGGAGGTGGCGGAGGTGGCGGATTCGGATATGGCGGAGGCGGAGGCGGAGGCGGTGGCGGATTTGAATTTGGCGACGACGACAGTGGCGAAAGTAGTTTTGAAAGTATAGGAGCCGGTGTTGGCCATATATTAAGCAAATTACAATCTGGATTTCACCGTCTGGCAAAAGGAGGTTTGAGTGGAGGAGGAGCAGGTCTCGGCAGTGGAGGCCTTGGTGGAGAAAATGAAAAGGTCATTTTCTCCCAATCTGACGATGGAAAATCTGGCGGCTTCGCTTTTCATGGCACACTCGATGGTGGTAAAGGAGGATACGGCGGTGGTGGAGGATACAGCGGCAGTGGATTAGGCGGAGGTGGCGGAAGTGGATTCGGAAGTGGCGCTGGAAATGGATTAGGTGGAGGCCATGGAGGACATTCAGGAAATGGTGGATTGGGCAGTGCTGGAGGTTATGGAGGAGGCGGTGGTTTTGGCGGCGGAGCAGGTGGCGGCAAAGGAGGCGGCGGATATGGAGGACACGGTGGTTCTGACGTTGGCGGTAGCAGTGGAAGCGGATCAAGCGGCGGTTATGGCGGTGGCGCTGGGGGTGGATTAGGCAGCGGTGGTGGTCATGGGGGTTCTGATGGATTTGGAAGTGGCGGAGGACTTGGAGGAAGCAGTGGCCTAGGCGATGGTCACGGAGGTGGCAGTGGCCTTGGCGGTGGACACGGAGGAGGCAGTGGACTTGGTGGAGGTCACAGCGGCGGTGGTGGCTATGGAGGTAGCATTGGCGGAAGCAACGGAGGTTCTGGAGGTCATGGAGGTGGCGCTGGCGGTGGATATGGAGGTGGATCCGGTGCAGGCCTTGGCTCCGGCGGTGGTATTGGCGGAGGATCAGGTGGATTAGGAGGTTCCGGTTCCGGAGGACATGGTGCAAGTCATGGAGGCGCTGGAGGGTACGGCGGAGGAGCAGGCGGTGGTCTTGGTGGCGGATCTGGGGATCATGGTGGCTCTAGCGGCTGCAGTTCGGGTTGTGGAGGATCCGGAGGCTATGGGAGTCATGGAGGATACGGTGCATCAGGAGCGTACGCTGCAGCAGCTGCTAAAGCCTCAGCATCAGCAGGCTCTGGTAGTTACGGATAATTAATCATCGTCGTTACATACTAATATTTCAACGATAAGCATTCCCAAATAATATAGGTTATGAAATGTTTACATTTGGCCATCTTAGTTAATTGTATGGTATAATATAAGTATAAATTATGTACTGAAATATCAAACTTAATTTTATTTTTATATACCCCTTATATTCTTAAATAATTATTACAAAAATAGATGTAACTAAGCAGATATTAAGTTAAAAACCAATTATAACTGGTTGGTAAAACCAGTTTATTGCATATATGTATATTTGTTTCCATAACAAGCAGGTAACGTACATAGTCACTAAGTACCTAAAACATGAAAAAAACTTGACAGTTCTAAGGTTAATTTACTCTAACGTTATCAATGCTTCCGCCTAGGCAGATTCAAACATTTGTCTGTTGGGTAATAACCCAAACCAAATTAATCCGAGAGACCACATTAGGTTCGCCCTCGGCCTCACTGGATTACTCGGAGAGAAAGGGATTGTTAGTAATGGGGATTATTGACCCTATTGCTAGCAAACCAGTATGGGTCTAAGTAATCTCCACGCAGTCTCCCGTAGAAATCGTTCTGTTTAATTCCTTGCGTTTACTATTAAAGGAAGCACCTTTCCATTGCCGTCCATAACAAAAATTGGTACCTCCTTAGCGAAATCCCTTTCACTACCCCATGTGCGACTGCGGTCGTGAATATACACTATATGTACATGTAGTAGAATATTGCATCTATATAATAATTTATATAGATATAATATTGTACTATGTATTTTATTTTAAATATCTGGTAGTGTGTCAGTAGGTATGATTAAAATTTTGATGTTTAGATGTATGTACCTACATTAAAGTAAACACTCAAAGACAAGCACTCATAATTTACAAAAAAATCACGAAGTACTTACATATACAATATCAAATTATAAACATAGCACGCTGAACAAATAAATGTTTTAAAAACCCAAATCATTGAATCCTTGACCTTCACAAAATTCATCATAAATAAGATAAAATAAGAAACCTAAGTCTAAACCTATATGATGACGTAACATATTCGCCGTCTGAGTTATACTTGACTTATAGAGAGATATATATAAATCTACGATTGGCATTTAAACACTTCACAACTAGAAAACAACTAGCTGCTAAGTAAAAGAACTAACTTTTTTTTTAATTTGTAGATTATTTGTATTACTGAAATGGCAAACCAGCTCACGGCTAAACAGGAAACACAAAGGTCACGTCTTCATGTGATGCCTCTAATATAATACATTGCTATTCCGAAGTGCTAAGACAATATACTTCCGTTCCATATATTTTTTTAGTATAATAACCCTAAACCAAAAAACACAACGCCATCTAGTATCAAGCAGTGCTTGTGTTATGGGTACTAGACAACTGATAGACATGCTTAAATACATTTTTTTTATTAATATATACATAGAAATCACTCTAACTAATAATAATACTCATGTATATAAGTTTGCATCCTGCGAGGAATCGAGCCCGTGATCATCAAAAGTACAGCGGCGTGTTAAACCACTAGACCACCAAGGTTTTTACAGTCAATAAATCAATTTGATGTTTTTCCTGCACCACGAAATTAAAATAGTCTCCAGTTTGGGTGAAAATTATTTCCTTTGTATGCGCGTGACTTAACATAGTACATTAGTTTAAACTGATTATTAGCGAAAATTACACAAAATCTGGTATGTCCCCGTATGTACAAAAAGACCTATTACTTTTTTCCATTCCATATCTTGATAAAGCTCTACAAATTACAAAAAAATACAAGTACTTATACTTATACTAACCCTATCAACAAGCACCTCACTCGCCATCTTTAAATACATAGGTAATAATTGAACTGAGATTAAGTAAACATAGAATATATTGCTATATTAAAAAAAAATTAATCTTTCTTTCAAAATTTGTACGGAATAAGTACTAACACAGGTAAATAAAATTTCAATGATTATTTGTAATATATGTAATATTTCATTATTTACGCTACACATGACAGAGAAACCTTGAGTACCTACTCGTAAATCATTTGTTTACCATCTGTTCTCTGAAAAATTAATATAACAAATATAAGGAAAAGTCGCACACGAATTCATGGTCTAGTGCTTTACCGGACAAAAACAGCTGATGTGGACTGTTTTTACATTATCTATTTACATTTCCTATTATTACAAACATATATTATTATTTACATTAATATCGAATCATAAATCTTGACTTATAAATTGTTGTTAGCGGAAATTAACTTATATGTTAGACATTATTCATGTAGTGACGTCAATTATACTTGACTGATTAATAGGGCTGTTTCTTATCTATGTACTATATATATGCATATAGGCTTGTTTTAAAATAATTTTATCTATATAACTTAAATTACATTTAAAAAACTTATTACTTTATTGTATTTTTTGTATAGATTAATAAAATTACCAAAGAATAACTAGCGTACACTTTTTTGGTAAAATGAAGTAAATAAAAAATAAATTATATAAAATATTACAGTTGAGATCGTCACAATAAAAAATCGCCTGACCGTCATGGGCCGTGTATGTAAGAAGATGTTGCACATTGCAATATTTGTCTCAAAGTAGTAAGGCCATCATATGCACGTTTATTTGTATATTTGTGAATTAAACTTTGAATAAAGAAACAAATAAGTTATAATAGCTTAGGTCTTACGAGAATATAGCATATTTTAACTTCCTATTCTCTTATTTATATTAACGTTAAAATCATAGGGGTTAACAGCATATATACTGGTGACATGTATTTTGGGAATAATTTCTCTGAAAATAATGTTATATATAGAGCACTAGCCACATACATAGGCCATAATCGATAGTAATAAAGGAAGTCTATAACTGAACTCTGGAGTCGTCATTTTGTACTCCCAACGTCCATCTTGTTACATGGCAACCCTGCCAGGATTAACTATATTATTATTAATAATAATAATATATATTTTTTATTTCATCCAATATATACATTTTACAGTTTTCCCTGATATCTAAACTAAGTAGAAACCTGCATTTTAGGCACCAATTCCCTCCTCTTACAATTTTGCAATTATTGGAATTACAATTGACTAAAAACATATATTAACTATTATTATAATGGGATTTTCAGGGTACCCTAAAAATTGTTGCATCCACTTAATCTTTTAAAAGGAAAACAATTAAGTTGCACGAGATGTCAACTGGAAAACCACACAGACATTAAAGATTTATTTTGAATGGAAGATTTGTTTTAATTTTGTCTATAGCTTATTTTGTTTTATATTAGTAAATTAGTTAATACTTATGTAAAACATGACTGTATAGACTGGTTAAAATGAAACACGTTTTTTTACGCTACTTATATTTCTCTCTTTCCTTTCCTTCCCTTTCCAGAAGACAAAGAAAACATGTAGGAAATAGAAAACCACAGCTACAAAAATAATTTAAATACAACGTCAAAATACAATAATAACATTTTAAAGAAACTACCAAAAAGTGTTGTATACCAAATGTGTTGTGTTGTTGTTGTATATGTGTTGTGTGCCAAATTAAACACATACTAATAACGCATCTTACTAAATTTGACATAAAGATGAGGACGAGCTCATTCTAAAATGCAAGCTACAAGCTATCGTTTGTCCTAAAAAGTAATGGAAAGGGATGAAATAGGGGATGGTAGTAGGTGAAGTAAAATTGCAGATAGGATATATCAAAACTGCTAAAGTGCAACTGTCTATTTGTTAAATTTACACGAATGATATTTATGAATTTCACAAACTGTTAAAAGTTATGCTATATACGAAAAAAGATTAGATAGTATGGACCTCAATAATAAAACTGAGGCACATAAATGAGTGCCCAGTATAACTAAGTTAAAAACTAAATTAGTAAATATAAATGCTAAATAATATATTCTTTTAAAAAACACACACTTCACACTCAAGTTGATGAGAATATACACTAAAAAATATCCTTCACATTGATCTTGGTTAATGATAAGTATACAACGATTAGTAATACTATGTAATATTATAGTAATACTATGTAATATTATATTATCTGTGGTAATACAAAGTTAATTTACAACTGCAAGCAAAATGTCTGTGCTAATATATATATAGTATAAAAGAGGTAAAGTTTGTGTGTTCTTAATAATCTCCGCTACTACTGATCCGATTATGAAAATTCTTTTAGTGTTGGATAGACCTGTTTTCAAGGAAGCCTATGTAACATATAGGCTTCCATATTCTTCCATAGGCTATGTAACATTACTATGACTATGACTTAGAACCGAGCTGTAATGATAGCGCTTACCAGCTAGTCTAACTTAAAACCTACATATGTCCATCTTCGTGACACAAGCTAACTTCTCGCTAAATTTCATTCATTCACTGAACAAACATACAGATTGACAGGCACGCTTTCATATTTATAATATAATTATAGATTAACTATATAATTTCTCGATGGAACGAATCCAAATTCAAGGTCCCGGTTTTTAAATTAAATGCAGTATTTATATTTATCAGTTATTATTATAATTTCTGCTACTTCTTCAGGCCTACGAGGTAGGTATCACATTTGTAACAGATACAATATATTATACGTAGTTACCTATTTAAGTTTTTTACCCGTCTCTGATTGACTAACAAACAAAAAATCTTAAATTGAAATTGTTTTACAGATATACAAAAAAAGGCGCTCCTATCATTGAGTTAAATATTAAAACGTATTATATAGAGGTGAAGATAAAAAGTCCTTTACAAAATAGATCAAAGGTTTTTTTGATCGCAAATTAAATCTCTTGTTATCGTTGCTAATATTGTGTGTGAAAGTAAATTTGTTTGTTGGTTCACATAGCTAGATCGTTCAAATTATAATTATAATCAAAACATTGTAAGCATTTGCGGTGAATAATAGGTACAAAAATCAAATCTGGGCTACACCAAAAAATAAAAAACTTTGTGTATTAATATATTTTCTCTCCGGTAAAGTAAACACCGATGACAAACCAAACATTCATCACATAGCAGCATTCAAATAGCGGCAGGCTAGGTCTATCACGTAAGTGTGTAAGTCAATTGTTGCATCATCGTTATCGACAATTAATAGGACATACCTACATATAGTAGAGTAAAGTCTAGTGACGGTTTTAATAATTCCATTCTTTGAAATAACTATTTATTCTTTCTTGGAAATATCATTGCAAATTTATGTATCTACATAATTTCAAATATAACAAATTTTTCCACGTACCAGGGACTTCCCAATAATAAATAAAACACTGTGCACAGATAATTATCAATTTAGTATAGACTGTCTAATCGAAATGCTAATAAAAATTGAAACAAAAACTACTGCGAACCATAAAAACTGAAGAGGCTATCAAAATGTAGGTACGGACGTTGTCTCAGGACATAGGCTGTGGTATATAAAAGCTAGGCCGGCCAGATGAGAAGCACAGTTCAAGATGGCGCGGCTAGTTGTTGCCGCGTTGGCCTTAGGCCTAGTTTGCATTCATGCAGCACCAGGTACTAAAACATTTTATTATATATTTCTTGCAATCATTTTTATATTATTATTTTTTATATTATTTATTTAAATGCAATAACAAATATACAGACAGCCCCCACCTGAGGAAAAGTGATAGTCGTTGGGAATATGGACATCACGTTATCACGTTTTGTAACCCTCATCATATATTTCATTTCTGAACACTAAACTGTATTCCACTGACACATCTCATCTCCCAAATCTTAACACAACTTACAAAACAATATGCTTCGTATCAGGAATTGGTAATTCAAAAGATGCCTTTTGACGACTGTGGACTTGCATCTTGAAGGTCTGCCTCGATGATTCCCAGTATTCCTTGATTATATACAGTTTCCATAACTGGAAGCTGTTAGCTCTCTGCTCGTTTTTTATCGTATTACTCTAATGCTGTTGGCTGCAGCTGGATTTTACAGCTTCACCGGACGATAGGGGGCGAGTGCAGATGGCACTTTAAACTAGCGGAAAAACTATGGAGCGGCTGAAGACCAACTCCTGCCTGATATGACTTTAGTCTGAGGGCACCGCAAGGGGTTCGAACCTCAGCTCAAGGCCGTCGTAATATCGATCCCTGTTTGAACAGGACGGGGAATCGATCGGAGGGAGGACGAGGGTTCGATCGGAGGTGGCTCTGCTCATATGATGGATAATCTGCGTATACCACACACTATACTAGGACATAATACTCTGTGAATCACGAGCACCAGACGGTACATAAGGATAAAAACGATTTGCCTCTCCTGGAAACGAATAGCTGAAAGTCTAGGGCTCCAGAAAAAAACTGAAGCGTTATATCTCAGATTAATATTTCAAGGTTGCGTTTCTACATATAGTATAGTACAGTCCATACGTACAACTCATTGCTAATTAAATGTGTGAAATGCAATCACATCACAGGTTAAAAATAAAGAGTCAATAAGTGTTGTCAGTATGTTACACATCTAATAATATTATTATTTATCAAATGTTATGAAGACTTGCAATTGTAAACACTTTCCATAAGTTATTAAACTTATGGATTATATGGATTAAAGCAATAATAATTTAATTGATATAATTACAAAGATTGGTAAGGAATTTATGTCTAATTATTATATTTTGCAGAGCACAATCGTGTCCGGCGCGGATACGGAGGCGGTGGCCTCAGTAGCAGCGGTGGAGGCGGTGGATATGGTGGCGGCGGAGGTGGCGGATTTGGAGGAGGAGGCGGATTTGGTGGTGGTGGCGGAAAAGGCGGTGGTCTAGGCGGTGGTCAAGGAGGCGGAGGCGGTCTGGGCGGCGGTCATGGGGGCGGCGGTGGCCTGGGCGGTGGACACGGGGGCGGCGACGGTCTAGGCGGCGGCGGCGGCCTCGGTGGAGGTCATGGAGGCGGCGGTGGACTCGGTGGCGGTGGCGGACATGGCGGCGGTCTCGGTGGAGGCAATGGCGGCGGCGGCGGTCTCGGTGGCGGTCATGGCGGTGGCGGCGGACTTGGCGGCGGTCACGGCGGTGGCGGCGGACTTGGTGGCGGCCATGGCGGTGGCAGTCTTGGCGGCGGCGGCCTCGGTGGACATGGCAGTGCAGGTGGTCTCGGCGGACATGGCGGTGGTCTCGGCGGACATGGCGGCGGTCTCGGAGGCGGCGGATACGGAGGATCAAGTGCTAAAGCCAGCGCCAGTGCCAGTGCGAAATCAAGCTCTGGAGGATACGGCGGCTACCACGGTTAACTTCTTTGGTAAGTTATACAACGAAACATAAATTTTATACTTGTTATATTATTTTCTAAAGCAAAGGGACCTTAAGATGGGAGTTACAGCAAACAATCGAATTGTTATTTACTAACACCTTCTTTAAGATGGGAAAGTAAATTTATTCTACAAAACTTAATAGTTGCACAATTTGTTTTCTAGTTTAAATGGTGGAAATTGCAGTGGAAAGTGCAATGCAATACTGGTGATATAATTTAGTTAATTATACACTTAGTAATTAAATGATTTTTATTGTATAATGATATTTCAAAATAATAGTTTATTCAAAGATCATGTAATTATGAATTAAGCTACCCTTAATTTTAATATTTAATCAATAATTGTATTATCAAATAAGAATTCTCTATTGCAATATCCGCCATTTACACTAGATAACAATTCTGTGTATATACATATAATTATTAACGTATATCTTTGATCTTTTAGTCACTCTAATACTTATATTTATAAACTTGGCTAATTAATAATCTTATTTTTTTAATGTTTCTTGTTTCAGAAGCTAATAATCGCAACGGATCGAGTGCCAGTGATTAATATAGTACATTCAAAAAGCTCAATGTGATACCTAAAGTAGTGATATATGTCGCTATAGCATTTGTACATAATATATATTGTATACATGTATGTATATATCTAACAATAATATATTATATTTTGTTTAAAATTTAATGGATTTTTTGTCATTCTCCTACTGTCGTATTTGTATTTATTTTAATTTATTAGGTCTCCAGCAAGGTTTACTCCAACATAAATACGATATATAATAAATTACAATATTTGTAGTAAAACTAAATAATTATAATAAATGTTTATTCAAAATACAGAGGTCTGTCTAAGATCTAAGTCTTAATTCCAGTTAAAGCAATAAAAGTAATAAAGATGCGTTAGTATAAATTTACAAAATAATAGATTCCTGTAATAACAATAAGAGATAAATTCATTTGTGTTGATTTCAGTGAACTCTCTTTACAGTTTATTATAAATAACTGATCAAGGTTGCAACTGACGTTTATACTAAAAAAAGGAAATAAAGTACGAACCATATACTTATTTAAGTTATCTTTTATGTATTTAGTTTGCGTAGACTAGGAATGGACTACACGAAATGGTGCATTTTAAGGAACCCTGATCCCGCGATATGTTTACCACGTTTTGTTTATAGAATTAATGAAATTTGAAATTACAGGCTTACACTTAAATTTTCTTTATTTTTTTTATAAATAAATAACTAAGGAAGGAGAGATGTTTATTGGATGATAAAGGAACTGTCTTTCTACTTCTGCGCTTCAAAAAATTTAAATTAAATTTATATCAGTCGGGTGCACCATTCCTTGATCGTCCATAAAAAAAAACACTGAAGACCACTGGCCGAAAGGGGTGTATCAGCGCTACCGTGGCGGTTTGCCGTCATCACTGCCATGACCATAGAGACAATTTGAATTTATATTTTATATTATTTTTTATGTATATCTATAAGATATTTATAATATGGGCCATTTAGCCTGAATTACATAAAAAAATTAAATATTATAGTATCTATGCTATTACGTTACAAAGGCTTTAAAGATCAATCGTCATTATGTTGTCAAACTGTTTTAATGCTGCCCAAATTGATAGGTTCCCAACACCGCGGTATTGTTTTTGTGTATGTTACATCATCGCAAAAACCAAACGTTTCAATGTTCCTTTTTGCAATCAATTCACACCCGCGTTAATCTCATATTTTTTTAGGATAGATAGTCGAAGCATAATATATTTAAGTTAATACGCGGAACAATTTGTCATTTTTTAGACCGAAACTTTGTTTAAAATATTCTATACTAGCTGTGACCCCGACTTCGTCCAACGTTACGTTAACATCGTGTAACCTTTCATATAACCCTTTTTTCGCATTAAAAAGTACCCTATATCCTTTTACAGGGGCTAGACTATCTGTTTACCAAATTTCATTTAAATCGGTTCAGCAGTTTTGACGTGAAAGCGACACAGAAAGAGTTACTTTCGCATTTATAATACTAGTATAGGAAGCCACCAAGCAGCTTTGTAAAACGTGTTCCTGTTTTATTCTTACGAGTGTAAGATTCTTATAGGCACGAAAGCATGACATCTCGGTCCTCCAAAATGATAACGCAATAATTTACTATTGCTTCTAATGATTTCTGTGGTGCTGTTCATAACGGTTGCTACTTTTACTTTTAAATTAGATGGACCGTCAGCTTGTTTGCCATTTCCATTACATAAAAAAAGTAAAACCAAATGCATTACCATATACAGCTATGAACACTGTACCCTAAATAAGATGCACTCTGTCACGTTAAGTTTTTTATGCATTCAAATTTCCTTGAGAAACGAATGTAGTTACTAAATATAGCTGGAAACTGTAAATCTGGCAGCAATTTACTACTATTTAAAGAGATTTCGTACTTGACATTTGAATAGAACATAGAAAGGTACAAGATGAAGCGTATCACTCTAGTTGCTTTGGGATTGTTAGTCCTTGCGGTCTGCGTATCTACGCATCCAGGTATGTCTATCTATATCTACTCTTATTATAAAGATAAAAGCCTTGATTTTTTTCATTTTTATTTAAAAGTTCTTATCTAAAAAATATTTTCTAAACCAGTAACGTAGGCTCTATAGCCTCTGGCAGGAAGGCGGGATACCGCTAGGCATATAATTAATCTATCGGTTTTTGAGATAAAAAGTTTGTGATACAATATATTTTCAGGTTAAATTACATTAAGATCCGTTAGATTTAGATTACTATATAACTAAGATTACTAGGTGACCCGTGCAACTTGGTCTGCAATACTGCAATGCTTACTTGATTTTGATCATTATATTTCGCCCAATTTGCATACTATATTTTTAAATTCTAACCTATTTGTTATTCTTTTGTATAAGTTATATAACACTGTAGTTTCATCAAAATCAGTTCAGTAGATTTTGCGCAAAAGAGTAACAAACATCAATCCACCCATACTCACAAACTTTCGCCTTTATAAAGTAACTAATTGTAAGATATTGTTTCGTTTCTGAAATGCCAAACAAGTAGGATGTCCACCTGAAGGAAAATTCTAACCGTTGTTTACAGACATCATCTGTATCACAACATATATTACAATACCCGCGATACCTACACCTCATGCATCATCAAGTTGCTATTCTTGAGTACTGAGCTGGCCTTTACAGCTTCACCGAACGATAGGGCACGAGTGCAGATGGCATTCCAATCCTGCGAAAGAACTTATGGAGCGGCTGTAAGCCAACTCCTATTTAACGGGAACGACTTTAGTCTGAGGGCACCGCTAGGGTTTCGACCCTCGGCTCAGGCCGTTGTAATTTCGATCCGCGTTTGAATTCGACGGAGGAACGAACGGAGGTGTGATGCTCCGGTGTGTGATGTGTCCGAAGGTGTGATGGTCTGTGCTCTGTATTCCGAACAACGCAGAAGATTATATTCTAGCAAATTGATAGAGAATAGTCATTTAAATAAATTTATGAATACACATATTTTATTTTTATTCTAATATTCTTTCGAAAAGCAGCCTCATTACAAAAATATTGGGAAGATTTCAAATAATAGTTCGAAGCAGATGTACTTGTTTTATTTAGTTCTCCAATTACATGAATTGCACGACTCACTTATATTAATTGTTTATACCAAAAAAAATATAATATCTCTGTTATCTCTAATACGCTGCCTTCAAACAAGAATGGCCGTTCCGTTCCCTTTTTTCAATGTTGGTGGTGGCTTTTCAGTGACGCCACCAACATCACAATAATATTCTTACTCTATGGTTTTAAATTTAAAATGTAAGCAATTAATTACGTTCTCTATACATTGAAGCTAACAAAAATGACCAGCAACTACTTGCGTGTTGCTGTTTTATATAAATGTTGTTCAATATTTTTAATAATCTGTGAAGATACAAACTTCCAAATAGAAAAATTAATTAATCATAAAAGTAAATAAACAATTTCATTATTAACCAAGTAAATCAGTCATCAGAACAGTCTTCAGAATAGTCTTCTTGTTGATTATTGAAGTAGAATTGAATATAGAACAGATTCCCATTTCAAATATCTGCCAACAAATAAACATCAAAGACTCTCTATTTTTTTTCTTACTAATAGGTGGCTGGAAGGGCAAGGGTGGTGGAAAAAATAATGGAAGCAAAGACAATGGTGGACAAGAGGATGGCGGTAAAAAAGAGAGCGGTAGCGGCGGCGGCGGCGGCGGCAACGGTGGTAAAAATGGCGGGAAAGGGGGCGATAAAAAAGATGGTGGAAATGAGAGTAGTGACAGTGACAGTGACTCAAATAGCGATGAAAAAGGCGGTGGCGGCAAACGAGGTTCTCATAAAAAATATTGGTAATTGTGGTAATAATAATAAAAAAATAATGTAATTAAACTATAATAATTATACTATTACCGATAATAATACTATTTATTATGATTATATTTATTTTATTGGTTGAAAATAATTCTTTAAACTTATTATACATAAAGTGTTGTAATATATGGAATTCTACTGGAAGATTTACTGATTGTATTGTTTTATTTAATATAAATATTCCACTTTTAAAAATGTAAATATAAACAAGAGGTCTAAGTCAAGCACATCCACTAAAATATACTGTTATAATTTATTCAGCACTAGGTGTGCCCGTGAAATTAATAGCCTATGGCTTATTCTGATGTATAAGCTATAATACTGTAAAGATTTATCAAAATCCGTTCAGTGGTTATTGTGTGAAACAATAACAAACATCCATCCACACTCACAAACTTCCGCGTACGTACGTAAGTATAGTACGTATGTAAGTTGTCTAAGACGTTAAATATTGTTGTTTACAAGTATATGCAACCTCTTTGGTACATTATATTTTATTACTTTTTAAAAAAAGAACATAGAAGTCTCGAATTTTAAATATGTCATTCTGAACTGAATCATTGGAGGGAAAATAAAAATCCTTCACCATACTGTAAAATATTTATTTTATTTCCTTTATAACAAAAGGATAGTACGTAAGTATTTAATATACATCCTAAGCGAAATATAGAAATATATTATTACAAAATTCATTAGTATTTGTAAAATATAAATTGTTATTCTGGTACCACAACATACATAATATATTATGTATTGTATCAAATCGTACGAGCAATAATAATGTACTTGGTTTGTATTCAGCCTGCATTGTACTGTAAGGTAGGTAGAAGAACAAAAAAATTAAAACCTCGATGCCTAAATAGATTTGCTTAAAAGTGTTTACTGTTTATTAGATTCGTGAGCTAATCAATCAGTTTAGATCTATAGGTATTGTTGTTTTTACTGCAAAAAATGTATCGTATTGAAAAAGGAACAAGTGGGTCTAATGACCGACAGACAGACAAGGTCAGAGAGAATAGTAACGTGTAGGAAGGTATACATTTTGGTATCACTCCGCAATATTTTTGGGTATTATTAGAATAAAATGGTATATCCTGTGGATTCTGCAGAAAATACCAATTTATAAAGTCACTAAATAAAGTCTAAAAAAAAATTATTTATGATAAAACTAATTGACCCGCGCAACTTCGTCTGCATCACACTTACTTTACATTTATCTTTATATTTCGCCCAGAATACATATCTTTTTTAAATTACATCCTTTGTGTTATACTCATTTATAAACAATGTTATTGTAAAATATCATCAAAATCCTATCAGTACTTTTTACGTGAAAGAGTAACAAATTCATCCCTCCATTCATCCATACTCACAAACTTTCGCATTTATAATATTAGTAAGATGTATTTAAAGTCATAATTATTAATAAACATAATTTACTAATCACATTTTTATGAAGTAATTGAAATACAAGTACCAAATGTTTGTATTTTAATAATGTATTTGAATTACAAGTAATTTAAATACTGCACATTATTAAGAAAAACAAATATAAATTGTTAGTTACTATATATAATATAAATATAAGAAAAACAAATATAAATTGTTAGTTACTATATGTGATAACCTTCCAATGTTACTATTATTATTAATGTTTGTGACAATGGTTGGATGCATATTTGTTACTCTTTTACACAAAAACTACTCAACGAATTTAATAAACTTTACAGTACATTATATTACTAGGCTACCAATACCACATACAATTTCAGGCGGGTAAAACCGCGGGTACAGCTAGCTCAATAATAATATCATAGATGTTAATTTGTTCGTAACTGAGCTTCTAGAAGTAGCTTTCGTTATCTTTTAATACATAATTATAGGTCATTAGTAAAATATACTCATAGACTTGTGATCCTGTATAAATAGTAAACTCTACTCTCCATAGACTTGTGACCATATATCAATCAAGAACTCACAATCTAATCACATTATATGTACTTGATGGTCACACCATTATCTTGATTCTCGCCAAAGTCAAGGGCGACTAAATCAAATCGAATTACCGAATTATTTCGTCTACCGTCCCTTTGTATATCCATCACGGTGTCGTCAAAACATGACAGTGGTTGACCGTGACGCACCATCATATCATGGTGATGCACCGTGTCCATCCTGTCTGCTGTGACCATATATAATGTACACCGAATCGAAACAAATCATAGTTGGGGTATCACCATGGCGAAAATGGCGTTGGTTTTGGCACTGGTAGTGTTTTTATCTGTGGTTATATCAGCTATTCCTGGTAAGTTGCTATAGCTACTTAATTTAGCAGTAGGTCAAGATGAAAGGTATGAAAATGTTTACGCTGGTTCGATAATCTATTTTAAAAAAAATACCCTCAATTAGTCTACATTTTTTATCTATACCTTGGTCAATATTGAACCAATTTTGATGATGTTTTCTATCTGTACAGTAGATGAAACAAATTAAAGTAATGCGTAGTACCCCAGGAGGACATTCAGATACCGGGAGTAGCATGTATTGAAATAACTCGAACAAACAGATAGAATGTGTGTTGATTAATGGATGCGTCAAGAGTACATACGTTGTAATATGTAGGTACTCTCGACGCATCCATATTTGTGAGGGTGTAGGAAGCAGTCTATAACACTGAGTTCTCTTTGCTTAATGCAGGTTCTATACAATGATATATAGAAACTGTGCTAAAATAAAATATTAAATCAATCATCAAATTATATATTACTTTTAATAAGCAATCTAAAGTCGTCTTTAACGAGAATAACAGAACTGAACAAACATCTGTAAATATACATTATGTTGATATAAATATCATAATATGAACATGATAGATGAACAGAGAGAGGACGACCAAGAAGTTAGATAGTTTGTGTAAGGGATGATATGCATAAAAGGTGAGTAAGCTCAGTTATGACCGCAGATAAGCATTATTGGATGAAGATAACATACTGCGCCGACTCCAAATTTCCCCTTAATCGGCAATTCGTACCTATTAAATATAACATTCCTACAATTACAAAAGTATTTAATCAGATAATTGGGAAAACACTGCTATAAAATTCAGAACAAAAGGAATATGACATAAAAACAATAAAAAATATAATTGACATTATTACTATAATTATATAATTAATAGTAATAATAGGATTAATAACTTTCTGCACTATAATTTCTAGGCAGGCGGCTAAGACGCGGTTACAATAACAGCGGATATGGTGGCGGATACACACGCGGGAGCGATGAGCGCGACGCTAGTACTAGCAACGAAAGCGGCAATGGATGCAGCAGTGAGAATACCAGAAAGTACGTAAATGATACATATTATAATGTAATTGATACATACTAGAATAGCCAATTTACTATATATTCTTATGAATTCTAAATAATTTTTAAAGTTGTTGTGAAAATATGTCATAAAACAATTTATAATAGGATAAATGGTAAAGGTAATAAAGACATATTTAGAATATTGTTTTATATTTTTTGATTAAAAAATAAACTATAACTTTAAATATATTAAAAGAGTTTCTCAACAAAACTAGCTTATTTATATTTAATGTGGAAAGAATAGAAGAAATAGAATTAAAGAATTGACAACTGTTATTGTAGCATTTGTAAAACTTGTAAATTTTTGTTTTACCATCAGTTTTATGAAATGTTTCTAAGCCGGCGATAATTCAGTTATGTATAAATTACATTCATTATACAATTCGTAACAAGTGTATTTTGTTACGAATTTCATGCATTATATGTATTGTTTATTGTTTAGTTACAGCGGCAGCCGTGAACTGGCGTACAACAGAGATGGACGACAATCCAACGATAATGCTCGAGGGACGCGGTCGTTCGCTAAAGCGTCCGCTTCCGCTGTCGCTAGCTCCTTTAGCCAAAACCTCAAGACTAAGAATGTATCATAGCTTCAGTACAAAGATTATGTAGTTTTTAATCTTAATTCTTTACAATTTGTGTTTGTTAATTTAGTTTTTAAATGATTTATTATACCGACCTTTAATATTTCTGAATATTGGATTCAAAATTAATAAATAGAAATTGTGGCAGAAATGTTCAAATAAATAAATAGTGTTCTATGATCTCTGTCTACTTCAAAACAACAAAGACCTGTGTTAATTATTCTACTAATATAAGTATAATTATTAATTCGTATCGCTTCCTAAGTTGTACGAGTAGTTTTTGTGACATGTGTTTAGCACTGCTCAACTACAATAAACTATATTGATATTAGCATACCTACTTTCTATATCGCTCTCCCACTGAATATCCTCTAGCAAATGAAGGAAAACAAAAACTTAAGGACAAACTTGAAATATATTTTTTTGACGAAATGAGAATACTTCGACAACGTGCTAATCTAATGTTATAATAATATTAATATGTTTATTTTCTACATAAAAATAGTAATAGAGCCATGTAAAATTTAATACAAAAATACAATTTTAAGAAAAACTGGTGCCTTTACTGTATCCAAAAAAACCTGTGACGCGGATTACCAGGTCCCCCCACTATATCTTCCATTCAAAGATTTGAAAATACGGAATACGGCTACTATATATAAAAAAACCGACATAAAATTATATAGTAAAAACAATAATTGCTAAAGCTGTGGTTGAAATATGTTAAAAATACAAAAGTATCTAAAAGAGAAAGAAACCTGTGCGATGTGATAAAACTCGAGGTTGGTAAAATTAGGGTTGGCAAACACAAATTTAAAAAACCAGGATTGAAAGTTTTTTTTTTAAACCAGGACTATCCAGTTTAAAAACAGAACGCAGTAATAGTGTTGCAATAGTTATATTAATCTGTAGTAAAATTCAGGTAATACAATATAATCAGGTTTTCAAATAAAAAATTATTTGATAAAATTATACTGTTGAAAATCAGTAATTAAGAGGCGCGTATATTTTAAAAACCCAGGACGCTGCCTAATGACTTTTCAGGATTTCCCAAGACACTTCAAAAACTAGGACATGTCCTGGGAAAACAGGACGGTTGGCAACTATAGGTAAAATACCACTAGACAGTATAAAATTTACAGTTTTTGTAGTTATTTTACTTTGGATTACAGTAGATTATGTTACAGCTCTCTGTTTCATCGTAATGGAGGTTTTGTAACCAGTCGCAGACAAATTTCTTGCAAGTAAACTTGTTGAGAGCAAAATTTTGACAATTTACTATTTACTTATTTATAAAGGAACGGACCGAGCTAAGAAAAGTAAATAAAACGGGTGTTGCAGGAAGTTATTGGTAGACAATTCTGTTATTCCGTGCAGGTGTTTGATTGTCGTATGGAAAGAATGCATGTTGTTTAATTATTGAATTCTTTGATCTATGGAGTGGTTGTAACTATGTAATATTATCTTATCGATGGTTGTAATCATCATAACCTGATATTTACATAATAAAAACTTAGCTTAGCGGACTAGAATCTTGAAATTACGTAATAAGTCTAATTATTTTATAAATTACGGATACTTCCATATAATTCAATAATATTTATAACAATAATGTTTCCGGACAATTCACACAGCATATTCTCATCCCAGACTAAGCAACGCTTGTATTATGGGTACTAGAAAAGTGTTATAAATATATGGTTACATTTTTATAAATACATACATAATATACATACAGCCAGACCGACATAAACAATCATACTTACAAATACAAATATTTGTACCATACAAGGAATTCAACCCACTACCATTGGAAGTAAGACGGTGTGCAAAACCGCTAGACCACCGAGCCCTTTGTTATTTTTCAAGATATTACATATGTTTCAACTTTCGCCTAACTAGAATGGCCAATAAGCTCACGGCCCGCCTGCTGTTGAATGGTCATGAATCACTATCACCTATATACATGAACGTCTAGTACAATGAAAATCAAGTTATCCCGTAATACTACTCAAGCTGCCATTCTCTGGTATGGAATAATATGTCTGTCTAAACTCATCTTGTTAGATGTTGATGTTGTTACCAACAATGTTGTTAATTTTAGGTTCTTAGTTGTACAATTAAATTATGTTATGTATATATGTATAAAGCAATCTGGTTAACGGAGCTAAAATATGCGCGACTGAAGTAACCACTTTTATTGTTTAAATTCATAAATTTATTTCCTACGCAATCATATTGGTTAAGGTGACATAATTATGCAATATGTAATCTAATTCAATTTTCGACTTTAAATACAGATGAAAATAATAATAATAACAATCACAGTTCACACAGCGTCATCTATTCCCAAGTTAAGCTAGATAAAATTTGTGTTTTGGGTGCTAGATAACTGATACAAATACATAGATTTATTTTCCTAAATACATACATATTATAGGTACATAGAAAACACCCAGATAGACACAAATAATCATTCTCATGAAAACAAATGTTCGTGCCGTGCAAAGAATCAAACACGCGACCATCGAAAGTAAGACGGTATTTTAAACCTGTCAAAGTGGAAAGGCTTCAAAAAGGTAATATAAACATTACACATGTGGATTGTGGACCGTTTATTTATGTAATAATTTTATAATACGCTAACATGTTTCTACAAAATATCTATCACAATATAATACATTGGATTGCGGACCCTTCACAAGTACAAGTCATTCTTTTAAAACTAAAATAAATAGTAATGTTACGCCATATCTGAAACAAAAAATAATATTTTATTACTATATTACAAAAACTTCCTTTGTAATTTTTTATTATTTCCCCGGTGAATAAATATCGATAACAAAACTAAAAAAGAATTTAAAAACAATAGCAGCTTCGCTACCTACACTTTTGCGATGTGTTAAATCTCGAGATTGGTAAAATTAGGGTTGGCAAACACAAATACCGAGCGCAAGGCGAGAACGCAACATGGTTCACCATGAAGTCGATAAGACAATGCGTCTGACTACCCCATCGACGCTAACAGTCGTTACGGTATGTATTGCACTTAATCTACATACGTACAGTATACTTCACATATACTCTTAATAATATATAATATTAAGAGAACTTTTTACTCTCAAACAGAACTAGTTTAATATATTGTTTACTATATATTATATTATATATATAAACAATCTAAAAAAATACCGCTTCAAAATCCGTTGCATAGTTATAAAGATTTAAGCATAGATAGGGACGAACAGATAGCGACAGCGACTTTGTTTTATACTACATATGTAATGATGTCTTTTCTTTACTGTATGTTATAAATAAAGTTTACAGTAAACCGTGTGGAAGAAATAGACGATATCTATTTTGAGTGTCTGTGAATATAAATACAGTACATACACCAAAATAAGATTTTTTATAATTTTTGTCTGTCTGTCTGTTTATTCCGGCTAATCTCTGAAATGGCTGGACCGATTTTGACGGGACTTTTTTGGGCAGGTAGCTGATGTAATAAGAAGTAACTTAGGCTACTTTTATTTTAGAAAAATAAAGTTAAATTCCACGCGGACGAAGTCGGGTACAGCTAGTCGCAAATGAACTTACCCATTCTAACCTAAGCCGACACCACCGACCGACCCCGAACTGGCGCTAGCTGAAGACTTTGAGAAGGACTGCGAGGTGCCGAGGGGGTAGCTGAGACCGCCGAGCTGTCCGCCCTGTCCCGGGCCGTAGCCGGCGCCCCCGAAGCCTCCGCCACCGCCCCCGCCGCCACCGCCGTAAGCGCCCAAGCCTCCGTCATAGTGCCGTCTCATTCGCTCACCTATATACATATCATAGGAATAAGAACAACACCTTGAGGAAAAAATGTTACTAATATCGTATTAATATTATAAATGCAAAAGTTTCTGAGTATGGATAGATGTTTGTTACTCTTTCAGTCAAAAACTACTGAAAGGATTTTGATGAAATTTTACAGTAATATAACTTATACATCAGATAACATCTGATGTATAAGTTATATTACTATATATAGTCTATAAATTTCAAGCACGAAAAACTGCGGGGATAGTTAGTAATAGGAATAAGAACATTGAAAGAAAACAATAAGTATATTTTTTAAAGGCTAAAGAGTCGGTACAACAATAGAGAACGCAGTAGGAATCAATTTAATATTATCTTTTATTAATATAAAATCAATGGAAATTAAAAACTTTCAATGTCCGAAAATTGTTATTATTGATGACAGAAATGAGCTAGTTAATATGATATTTTTCTATTAATAATATATTATTAGAAAGTAATGTACCTATTTCTATAATGTACCTACATTATAGAAATAGATCTAAATATTATGTAATGTCTAAATTTGTAGATGTGTTGTCCGATACTTAATGATCCGATAAATAATCTTTGTATATATATGCCTTGAAGAGAAAGTAGAATAAACAAAATTTGACCATTGCCAAATGAAATTTTATCTAAGTTAAAGACAATTAAGAACAAATGATTCATTCAACTTTAAAATTCAAATATTAATTATAACGGTTTAGTAGTCTCTGATATCTCACCTATTTCAGCAACTAAGCAGCTTTCTTGTATAAGGTGTGTTTCGGTTGAAGTATATTGAGGAAATATGGCAGTGAAATTACAGAGTATAGAGGCATCTTATTCCTTCAAAAGGGCATATCCGTGATAGATGCTGGTAAGTAGGCGATGATTACCACTTACCATCAGGTGGGCCCTTATTTACCAGACAGCTACTCCAGTAACATAAAATAAAAAGAAATGCTTAATTACCTGGTGCAGCAAGGCAGGTGGCAACCAACGCAGTCAGGACCAACGGGACGACGTACCTTGCCATGTTGTAATTGTCGTACTCGACTGTTGTCCTGTCCAGTGGTAGCGGCGGTTATATACGACACCCATCCCATCTAACAAAGTGTCCAATCATCCCGAGTTGTTTGCGCCAAATCGATAAATTCATAGTCATGCATTTTTTTCGCAGATCACGTGGTACGCTGGTGACAAAATGGGCGACGTGATGCTCATTCAATGGTAAAGTTTTTGAGGAAATACAAAAAAAAATACTAGCTATTCCTATTTGACGTGAAGGTACGTGCTTAGTATAATTGCTGTTATAAAATTACCAATAACAAAATAATATTTTATCACTACTTTCTTTACATGGTAAGCAGATAGAACTGAGTGCATCTGATTCACCGTAACTAATAAGAATATAGAAAGAAAAACATTTGTTACTAACTTGAGACCGTTATAAAACCTAACTAATTAATTAATAAACTGTAAGGACACATATTTTCGCGGAACAAGCAAATCAAGGAAAAAAACCAATATATAAATAAACAAAAAGCAAAAAATAAACCTTCAGTCTATGTACAATATGGGTATAACTTAAAAAAAATCTTGAGAGCGTTAAGGCCCTTTTTTTCTATGTACATACATTGACAAAGAAGCTGACTGCCCACCTGATAGTAAGTGGCAACCGTCGACTATATTCATGAACAGCACTACGGATATCACGCTATCATGTTACGATCGTAATACCATACATGTTTTATTATTCCAGAGTACTAAGAAGTCTCTTATTCAGTATATTTCAGTACTGTCTAATCTAAATGAAACTGAAAATCAACGCTGCAGTGAACATACAGCACCAGCGCAATGGAAGCCTTTTCAGCTTATAGCGCAACATTAACATAAGTTACTAGTGGCTCGTCCTGGCTTCGCACGGATTCATTACAAATTGTTTAATCTCTCCGCTTGTTCTCTACTATAGTATGCATATATTATATATGTATGTATGTAAATTTTCCTCTTCAATAACTCTATCTATTACTGAAAACCACATTAAAATCCTTTGCGTAGTTTAAAAAATATAAGCGAACAGACAGCAATGGCGTCTTTATTTTATTCTGTGTAAAGATTTTACACTTTCCATATTGTATTATACTATGCTGTGTAAGTTGAATAAATGATTAATATTATTATAATCTCAGCCCGGAAACACATCTTACAAAGCAAGCTGCTTGGCAGCTGAAATAGGTAGGAATGAGATATCCACGTAAACGCTCTTGGCCTTAAAGATTTCATATATTTGTCATTTTTAGGAAACTGTAAGGATAAAAATCTTATAATTTTCTTAAACCAAAATAATATATTTATTAATTGCACACAAAAATGTATACATGCCGGACTTAATGCCTGATAGCATTCTCTACCAATCACCAGCATTGATCAGAGATAACAAGGCGGTGCAATTTAATAATCAATATTAAGATATAAAAACATATAAATAAAGAATAATCCTATAGAGAAAGCGATAATATTACCCCATGCCATGGTGGATTCAAACATAGTTACCTAGCGAAATGTGGATGTTAAATGTTTCATTCACCATAATGCCTTTATAGATATTCATTCATTCATAATTTAAGAGCTGTGCTCTTGTCGGTGGAGCTCCCGCCATCTTCCACGATCTTCTTTCAGTCCCTTTAGCTGTTGATACGACACGACTCCAACTTTTTCTTTAACTTGCTTGACATAACTGTGTCTTGGTCTTTCCCTTCCTCTCTTTCCATCTATTTTTCCTTCTATAATGTTGTTAATTAGTTCGTCGTGTCGTATCAAGTGCCCCAACATTATAGATGTAGATATATATGTATATTTATAAATAATTACAGAAGTACGGAACCCTAATATTAGTTCCGCTCGCGGTGACCGACACGCTGAAATATATAATGGATTTATGTTTTTATAGATACGCTCCAACACAACAATAGTAGGAAAGGTACGTCCAAAAACCATCAAAATCCAATGTTTTACTCAGTTTTGTAGCAAAACAGTGTGATCTTAGTATCGACAGGTCATGTTAATTGAACACCAAACTATGAATATTTTTAATGTATTTGATATTGTTAGACATAAACACCTATATAAGTAAATAATGTAAATAAACTTACTTCTAAAAAAAAAGAAATTTAGTTGAGTTTCCTGCCAGTTCTTCTCAATTGAATCAGTATACTGTTTAGTTCAGTATAATGAAAGGAAACGGTAGGGAAAAATATTAATACAAAAAACCTGAAGTTCATAAGCGGCTAAAATGTCCTACATGCTAGATTAGATCTGATCAGATCAGATCTGATTATACAAATCAACACTCTCGCAAGTTACTATACTAGTATCGGCAGGTAGTTGCTTATCATCAACTGACAATGCAATTGGAAAGTCATTTTATCTACGCTGTTAATAGCCACAGTGAATCTATACCTTAGAACATGCACCGTCTTAAAATTTCCTTTTAAACCTATAGTGCACTAGTGTTCCATTGATTTGGATATTTTTAAGCCCCTATTATGTATATCTTTCTGTAATAAATTTTTGAAATATTTACTGGCGTTAAATAGGCATAAAATTAACAGGCAGCGGCGCGGCGGCGTCCTTGTTTTATACCTACTATGTAAAGATAACTAGTCTTGAATTGTTTCACATAAAACAACTCTATCGGGGATAGGGGATCGATTTATATATTTACATCTTAACGTCAATACTTTGGTGCCATATGCCATGCCGTGCCATACCATACTGGGGTCTATAGTATTATGTATCCTAATCTCTAATTATCTAATCTCACACTTCAATCGAACCATAGTGTACAGAGCGAGCTATTTGGCGCCAGAGATAAATGAGACCGAGATATCCTCACACATAACTTTGTTCAAAGTGTACCTCAATCGTTATACCTACCATATATATATATATATATATATATATATATACCTACTATGTTACAAATACCTATTAGAATCCAAATTATTTTTTGTGACACATTTTTTGCTAAGTTTTGGTATTTTGTATGATATAATGGTAATTTAGTTACGGCTCCGTTCCGCTCCTTGAACACCATCATCGAGTAGGTCAAAAACTCTGGCGGTGAATCCCACAACCCTCATTTAGGTTTGCGTCACGGTGTGGATCAATTCCGCCAGTCATCAATTTATATTTGTAAATTTTTATTTCGGAAGATATACCATTTCGTAGTATTTAAGTGGTGTGTAATACCATAGATAAAATAATATTACATAGTGTAACAAATTCGTATTGATATGTTTAATTTTAAAAATAAAATGTATGTTTTTCTTAATACAGTTTTGTTTTAAATGTTCGCTGTAAGTAAATCAATACCTATTACTGCATCTATACTATTTTCGTTAGAATTAAACTCTTCTGTTCGAATGAGACTACATGCCAGATCAATGTGGTTGGTCATTTTCTTCTTATGAGGAGACATGTACCCGGAAATGTTACGAAAATATATTATAACAGTGATCAGGAAAATAAAAAACACTTTTCTCTTGATAATTTTTATTTACAAATTATTAAAAAATATGTGACCAATGTCACTGTAACAAACTTATGCAATTTATAATAATATATAACCGTAGTACCTATCTGTATGGGTACTTACCATTAACTTCTGTTTAACTTTACTATTTTTTATTTATTATGATTAATCATTATGCATCTTTATTTACTATGGATTTAGAAAAACCATAGATCATGAAAAATCTTCAGCCATTAAGCTGATTTTACGGACTACTGATTTATGGTTTGATCATAGAACTCGAAAAGCCTTTAATGTTTTGTAGACTTAGAATATCATTGAACTGTTTCAGGATCCTTAAAAATAATCCTACAGCATCACAATGTAAAGTACATTAGGATCATTAACGGACTTAGAAAAGATACAATTTTAGTACCATTAAAATAATGACGAACATTACCCGACCAGTAACCAACCGATCTTCGATATTTAAATTTCATTTTTTTTCTAAATGTTTTTATTTATTCTTTCTCTAATAACTGGTGATGATATAGGAATAACCACACACAGATTAAAATAATACGTGTATATTTCTAAATGTAAGTAATTATTTATTCGTTAATTGATCTACAAGTATCGACCAAAAATATTTAACACCTAAAAATGCGTTTGATTTTTATAACGCATTTTATATATTGTACACTATATAAAAATTAAAACTTATGTACTTATATAAAAGCAGGCTGATCATAAACGGGCAATATCAACAATTGTAATGGTCACATATATTTTAAATCTATAAAATCCAGAGGTATTATTTTCTAAAACTAAATCATAGACTAGTAAAATTCTGTTCACTATTACAAAAAAAAATTATTTTAAATCTTAAATAAATTTGCTTAGTAAATATACAGCAACAAACAACAAAATTCTGCTAATAGCTACCACTGAGACATTATTCCAGCTAGTCCTAACCTTACCATGTAAAACGTAGTACAGACAATGGCCATTTAACTACATATAGACAAAATTGCAATAGACAATAATTGGCTATGGCTTTTAAAGTGGTACAACGCGCAATAATACTTACGCATATAATTATTATACATATATATATATTTTTAAGATTGCACAAATGTGAATATAATGCACGATTTACTAAAATTAGTAGTCAAATATATATGTTGTAAATTATGCAAAAAGTAAAAAATTATACAGATTTCATATTTTATTTTCTTAAAAATCAATTTTCTGACATTATTATTTATTAATTTAAAACGTGTATACAAATAACAACGTTGTAGAAAGAAAACAGGCATATATTTAATGAATTACTGACCTTTTCCAGAGAATAAAATTAACACCGAACAAACATATATGGCATTAGTTTTATTCACACATTTTTAGAATAAATAATATTTAACTTTGTGTAATATTGCAGTATAGAAACTTACCCTAAGTCTTTGTTTAAATATAGTTATCTATTTCAAAGCCAAATGTAATTTCTAATTCTGAAAACACAACATTAATACAGATAATTAGGCTGTATGGCTTTGTTCCTTTCCCTTCCCATTTAGAAACAAATTAAAATTCCTACAACTTCAAATGAAAATTATACTTACTTAATAAAAAAACCGAATGTTTTGTACACATGCAAATTACGTTAAATTCTAATGAGCTGTATTTTACTATATTTTACTTTAATTAATATTTATCTATATAATATTTACAATAGTAACGTGATGTTATTAACTAGATGGTAAAAAGAATCATACTCAATTACTAGTAATATCTCAAATAATTATAAACATATCGATGTATAATTTTTAATTGACAAAATTATTATGTATTTCGCTGGCAAACATTAGATCATCTAATTACGACTTACATATGTATTGCACGTTCAAAATCATAGCTAATTTAAATCTATACAAATACAGGGTTAGTCGGAGAGGGTATATTTATTTATTTAATCTTTAATGCAATATATAAATGTACACATGGCGAACTTAACACCTAAGGGCTCTTCCGGTCAACTGTAAGCCAAACTGAGAAATCAGTAAGCGGCGCATTAGAGTTTAGAAACATTCCTACGTGGTAATTTTACGTCACAATTTATACACACACATTTCAATTTAACAATAATACATATTATAATAATCCCGCGTGATATTATTTCTGAAAGCGATTTTTTTATGTTTTTTTTAATAAATATTTTTTACAAAGAAACGGCAACCCTATTCTTTGTTATATCAAAAACAGTCGACATTCTTGATTGTTTGTATCGGTCTGGGTCTGTATGTATATTTTTTGTAATAGTATATATAATGCATTTAAAAATAAAAAAAAATCTTTATATTTATATTAGTTGTCTAGTACACTTAACACAAGCTCTGCTTAGCTTAAGACTAGATGGTGTTGTGAGAATGGTCGAGAATTAGGGGAATGGTAAGTAAAAAGTGTTTTTTTTTCGGACTACTCCAATGCTGTTTGCCGTAGCTAGCCTTTACAGCTTCACCGGACGATAGGGCGAGTGCAGATGGCAGTCCAAACCCGCGGAAGGACTTATGGAGCGGCTGAAGGCCAACTCCAGGTTGACAGATACGAGTTTAGTCTGAGGGCTATTCGAAACTCCTTTGAATTGAACGGGGGATCCATCTATACCCTTTCCGTCTAACCTTGTATAATGAAATATATATATACTTGAATAATTTTATCGAAACATACGTCTAGAAATACAATAAACATCAATAACACAATCATCACAGATGCGTAAATTCAAAACAAATTTACTTAGAAAAATGTTGTGCTCGTTCTACGCGTACAATATCTTTCAAATATATCATTTTTCGAGTAAATATTATATTCTCGAGTTTTATCATTTATCACACTTCAATGGCTTATTTTAAAGCTGTACCTACTAATTATAGAACATACTCTCCCGAAGCCTGTTATAAACCCTTTGTATTGCTATTTTTATTTAAAACCAAATTGAACGCACTGGCGTATTATATACTAATATGCTAGAGATACCGAAATTGTAACCCATAAACTACGGCACTACCACCGCAATTTACTTAGCTACGCGTCGTACTGTATCACTAATTAGTATGGTAACGAAAATGCCAAGTGTATATTAAAATAAATTCTAGAAATGTAAACAAACATGTGATGTTTCATGTGAATGTGTAAATAATAATTACATTGAGATAAAATTAAACGATTAAGGGAGAGTCATATAACCTGAGTACGTACAGCACCGATAGGAAATAAAAGCCATCAAAATGCAAACTTGTACGTTAAATCGTCTACTTTTCATGTAGTCCGAGCATTCAATAAATATTTTCGGGCATTCTGTAACGCTAAAGATATAACTGCTAAAGGTTCCGCCATATTGTCAACTGGGCGGGACGAATGCGCGACGCAAGCAGAAAATTCGTTATTATAATTTACTATATAAGACATTTATCTAGTACTAGCTACCCGCCCCGGTTTCGCACGGGTATGTGTTATACATATAAACATTCCTCTTGAATCAATCTATTGTTAAAAACTGCGTTAAAATCTGTTGCGTAGTTTAAAAGATCTAAACGAACAGACAGCGGAAGTAACTTCATTTTATACTATGTAAAGATTGTAGAAATATTTCTGTTTCAAAAATTAATGATGGCAACACTTGACAACATTACACTGTAATATATTAAAATATTACGTAATTAATTGTTCCTGTCAGTAAGGATCTGTCGTAAACATATATAACAGATAACACAACGAATCTCTTCTTTGTTCTATTTTTAAACTTCCGCGTCTAATTGTTCTATATTATATAGACTAAGTAAACGCGGAAGTTTAAAAATGGAACCAAGAAGATCGGGTAACAACACTAATAAATTTATGGTAATCACTTCATGCCGAGAATCGGCGTTGTATATCCACTCTTGTTTTTAATCTATTGGTTCTTTTTTATCCATATTTAAAGATAGAGATGGAAACCTCAGGGAATCCACAGTTCTACAGATAACTACTCACGTCGTATCGCTAATCGTCCCACCAATAACCCAATGAAAGCCTAACTTCTAAACAATTTGTCTCCTAATGTAATTTAACTACTAAAAGGTTTACACACGACCCAGCCTTTAATTCAATAACATTATAATAACAATTCCTCGTGAGCTATAGTTGTCACCTAAATAATATGAATAATTTAATATATAATTATTTATTTTATTTTGAGAATGGTAATCTTTGAAATCTAATTCATAATACACGATAGAAAGACAGACATATAAAGACAGTTTGTTTATAGTCTTCATATGTCACAAACAGTAGATATAGCATGTCATACAACATATAATAAATATATTATTTCATGTCATAAATTGTTGCCAGATAAAATAATTTAATAAAGTCAAAAAAGTTTTATGTCCGTTAATACGAACATATAGTTAAAACATTACGCCAACTATAGCTCACATATGAAATAATAAAAACTTATATAAAAATGTATTGTAAATTTTACTTTAATAAATGTAGACACGTCTTTTTATTGATAAATAATTAATAGTTTTATCATACTTCTATTTGTTTATAATATATTTGTTGGTAAAACATGATTTCTAATACCGAAGACAAATTTTGATTGCAGAGTATATATGTTTAAAATAATTTTAAATTTCTAATTCCGTAAAAAAGACATGTCAAGACTATTTACCGTATAAGAAAAGGTAATACAAATTTTACAATATAATTATTGCAATATTAAAATTAAAAAAAAAAGTATTACAAGTTGCAATATAACAAAATGTAATATCATTAAAAATTATATCTACGCCTAATATATTGTGATTATATACTTAAAACATTGATTTAATCGTATATTTACAGGTTGTATGCAATAATTTGTAAAAAAAATGTACTAATCTAATATAAAAATCTAATCACTAGCCATGTGCTTCGCATTATTATATCGAAAAAAACATAAAGCTGCGTACATTGTGTTGCAATAACACCTCGAACAGGCGTGTCAATATCTTGTAAATACAGTCAAATGTATTTAAATACCAATACTAAAATAATATATATATAATACAATATAAAAATGCATGTAAATATATATATTAATTGTAACAATAAAATTTATCACTAAAACATAGCTTTACAATTAGTTCATGCAATCCAACAATGGATTTACGATCTAAACGCAGTTTTGTATAAAAGAACTTAAGAACAATGTAAAATAATAATGTTCTCTGTTTTTAAATGTTCTTCAAAACCAAACAATGATTATTTAAAATAACAAATATGTACATAAGGCGTTTTAAAATTAGCTATATGGACGAGATATTATTGCAAAAAAAAGTGGTACTCAACCTAAATATAAAACTCAGTCCCTGATAATAATAATAATGTAAAAATATATATTACAATGTATAATATTATTATGACTGTAACATCCAAATTGGACAGTTACTATGCAATTCCGAAACAATCAGCTAATAAATTCATTACTGTACATATTATTTTATATATCATAGTTATCATTATTCAATAGCTAAAATTAATATATTATTTTGCACTATTCTACTATAACAGCAGACTATATATTTCGAGTTTCTTCATTATGCACACATTTATTTTATCCTCTCATCTGCGAAGGAGCCAATTATTGGACTCGGACACTATAGCCCCATCCGTGAGAGAAGTCCTGTCATTGGTCTCACAGATGGGGCGTTAATGTCATTTTGACAATTAACAGTTGAAAGGATATCATACTTCGTTATTATTACTTTTGTTGTTGAGCAGGTATACTTACACTTAAGTATAACTAGTGTATAAAATGCATAAATATAGTAGAAAATGCAAACAGTTGTTTATTTCATTGTTCAGTCATTTTGTTCTAAATTATCTATGTAAATAGTAATAGTGTCAAAAATGTACAACGAACAGTATAAGATCACAGATTAATCAAAAGTCCGGTATAGATAAATATTGATTTAGTGATATTGTAAACAAAAATAGTTTCTATGTTTTCTATTACGAAATATTACTAGTTTATTCCATGTTGGAAGTACATTCTTACACTATAATACTAAACAGTGGTAAATTTTAAATATTTATAAGAAATTGTTAATAGATAATAGTCTAATAGGGGGTTTTAAAATTACATTAAAATAGTGTAAAAAATACACAATAATTGTGATATAAGTGTACAATACTGTACAATATTTTGTTAACTTCTGTGCTTAGCGCTATAGGGCCTATCACATGCTATGGTAAAAAATAATCCCAAATAGTGATGCTTTATACGTCTATGAGACTTATCAAATTATTTCCCAAGATATGCGTGCACAGACAAGCCATCTCCACAGTAATATTATGAGCTTTTATTGGTCAAACTTCATATCACTCAGTTATAAAGCACATACTACATTAATTATAATTGTTTCTATACGAAATGTAAATACATATTGTGGAGTTTATAGGAACCTCAAAATTACGTCAAAATCGCACCGAGCTCATGCATATACTCAATATTATAACATATTTAGCTGCCGGCCCACTATATACCTCAATAACAATTGAATTTCTCGATATACTAGTTCTGTATGGAATATATGCAAGTTTTAAAATGTCAATCCATATATTAAAGTCATTGGATTAGATCGGAAAATAGTTTCGTTTATGAATTTATACTTTAACAGTCATCTTATTCGAAAAAACCTCGCACGTAAAATAAATTTAATTTAACCTGATTTTTTACGTATTATTGTGTTATACCTTATACCTTCGTCAATGTGCGGGTGGGGGAAGCTGGGGAAGCTGGAGAAACTCCATCCATGCTTCGTTTAGGCTCCGAATGATTTCTTTCACTAATTCACAGCTGTGTGTCTGGACGCAGAGGGGCGGCGTCGGGTGCGAGCGACGGGGGGGCGGCCAGCGCGGCCTGCGGGCAACTCGGGGTCTCCCCCGGGTTCATGTCGATGCGGCCCGCTTTACTCCACACCAACATGTCCATTATGAAGGCGAGGAACATCAGGCCCGCCGATAGACCTGTCAACCAAAACACGGACTGTTAAGAAGGTTCTAATTTCAATATCTAGCTTAACGTAAGTATTGGCTAAAACGAAGCAGATATTGACGATTTCTGTTACTTATTTATAAACTTTCGCGTTTGGTACACAGTATTAATATAGTTAAATGGGTTATAACTGGAATAATTTTACGGTAAACAAAGGTACCTTACCTCTCTCTCTCTCCTACCTTCATGTCATGCTCATAATAATGGCAAGACTATTAGTTTCCTTTTTAACATAAGTGGACTGGTAAACAAATTGACAAAGTGATAAATGTCGCCTCAAAAAATTAGCAACATAGGTAATGTCAAAGTCTCCGAGATCTAACGACATTTTTATACAATCCCATTTATTCTGGGATAACTACAGAGATGTTAGGGTGTATAGTGAGGATTGAAGAGCCCATAGTGTAGCGGTTAGAGATAACTACAGAGACGTTGGGTGTATAGTGAAGATAGTAAGCTGACATAGATGAAAACCCGTCGTACACGATCAGACACAGCACATTGCCGAATACAGTGATCGCGAACTATATAGTGACAGTAGTGAGCTGACCTAGGTAGAAGTGTCTGAGGCTGTCGTTGTCGTAGGAGGCGCAGGCCCCGACGAGGCCGCAGGCGGCGGGCCGCGTCTGTATAGTGACGCTAACCTAGGTAGACTGAGGCTAGGAGGCGCAGGCCCCGACGAGGCCGCAGGCGGCAGGCCGCGTCTGTATAGTGACGGTAGTGAGCTAACCTAGGTAGAAGTGTCTGAGGCTGTCGTTGTCGTAGGAGGCGCAGGCCCCGACGAGGCCGCAGGCGGCAGGCCGCGTCTGTATAGTGACGGTAGTGAGCTGACCTAGGTAGAAGTGTCTGAGGCTGTCGTTGTCGTAGGAGGCGCAGGCCCCGACGAGGCCGCAGGCGGCAGGCCGCGTCTGTATAGTGACGGTAGTGAGCTAACCTAGGTAGAAGTGTCTGAGGCTGTCGTTGTCGTAGGAGGCGCAGGCCCCGACGAGGCCGCAGGCGGCAGGCCGCGTCTGTATAGTGACGGTAGTGAGCTGACCTAGGTAGAAGTGTCTGAGGCTGTCGTTGTCGTAGGAGGCGCAGGCCCCGACGAGGCCGCAGGCGGCGGCCGCGTCTGTATAGTGACGGTAGTGAGCTAACCTAGCGTGTCTGAGGCTGTCGTTGTCGTAGGAGGCGCAGGCCCCGACGAACGGCACCGCGTCTGTATAGTGACGGTAGTGAGCGACCTAGGTAGAAGTGTCTGAGGCTGTCGTTGTCGTAGGAGGCGCAGGCCCCGACGAGGCCGAGGCGGCAGGCCGCGTCTGTATAGTGACGGTAGTGAGCTGACCTAGGTAGAAGTGTCTGAGGCTGTCGTTGTCGTAGGAGGCGCAGGCCCCGACGAGGCCGCAGGCGGCACCGCGTCTGTATAGTGACGGTAGTGAGCTGACCTAGGTAGAAGTGTCTGAGGCTGTCGTTGTCGTAGGAGGCGCAGGCCCCGACGAGGCCGCAGGCGGCAGGCCGCGTCTGTATAGTGACGGTAGTGAGCTGACCTAGGTAGAAGTGTCTGAGGCTGTCGTTGTCGTAGGAGGCGCAGGCCCCGACGAGGCCGCAGGCGGCAGGCCGCGTCTGTATAGTGACGGTAGTGAGCTGACCTAGGTAGAAGTGTCTGAGGCTGTCGTTGTCGTAGGAGGCGCAGGCCCCGACGAGGCCGCAGGCGGCAGGCCGCGTCTGTATAGTGACGGTAGTGAGCTGACCTAGGTAGAAGTGTCTGAGGCTGTCGTTGTCGTAGGAGGCGCAGGCCCCGACGAGGCCGCAGGCGGCAGGCCGCGTCTGTATAGTGACGGTAGTGAGCTGACCTAGGTAGAAGTGTCTGAGGCTGTCGTTGTCGTAGGAGGCGCAGGCCCCGACGAGGCAGGCGGCAGGCCGCGTCTGTATAGTGACGGTAGTGAGCTGACCTAGGTAGAAGTGTCTGAGGCTGTCGTTGTCGTAGGAGGCGCAGGCCCCGACGAGTCAGGCGGCAGGCCGCGTCTATATAGTGACAGTAGTGAGCTGACCTAGGTAGAAGTGTCTGAGGCTGTCGTTGTCGTAGGAGGCGCAGGCCCCGACGAGGCCGCAGGCGGCGTCCCGCAGGCGGCAGGCCGCGTCCACGGCGGCTCCGAACACGATCGGACACGGCACGTTACCGAACACGCCGATCGCGAACTGTATCACGCCCATCGCCATCGCTTTGTCTATGGATAGAGAATAACAATTACAATAACACATATTAAATATTTGACGGCCCCGGTAGTTTATCGGTTAAGCACACCGCCTTAGTTTATGGTCGAGGATTCGATTCCTTGACTATATAAACTTTTGTAGCAATAGAGTCAATAATAATAAAATCCCTTGACAATTCACACAACGTCACGTAGCCCCAACGTAAGCAGTTTGTATTATGGGTACTAGACAACTGATACAAGAACTTAGATTTTTTTTAAATACATACATAAAATATATGGAGAACACCCAAACCGATACAAACTATCATACTGATGAATACAAATATCTGTATAGTGCGAGGAATCGGACCCGCGACCAACGGAAGTCCGAAGCAAGGTAATTAAAATTATGTACTATTTGTTACGAGAATTAAATAAAATTTAATCCAAAAGCTGTGTCTTACCGAATTTATCCGTGCAGCGTATAATGATGAGTACAGCACCGACTTCACCGCTGGCGTGAACGAACATAAGCGCAGCGAAGATCGCTATGAACACGTAGATCTTATCGCACGGACCCGCACATTCACCGCTCACCGCCCACCCGCCCGACCGCTCGTCCAACCGATCGCGCGACCAGTCGACCGACCGCTCGACGGGCAAGTTCCACAGCTCCGATTTGTTCCACGCATCGAATTGTTTCAATCTAGATTTATAAATATTTACTTTAACTATAATTATATTAATATTATAAAAATGGAAATTTATGAGTGTAGATGGATGGATGTTTATTAGTCTTTCACGCAAAACCTACTGACTGGATGTTAATAAATATATGTATAGCTTATATTTCATAATAACATAGGCTATAAATCCGCGGGCACAGCATGCAGTAAATAAAATACGGATTAAAAAATGTATCAGTTGACTTTCTTTCAAGTCTTTTCAAGTCTGTCCAGTGCACTAGTCAAGTAGTAACTTTACGAACAGGACGACAGGGATATTGATACAAAAATTTGACTTTACTTTATTGACAAAGATGTCGTACACTAAAATATTTAGACTGCACTAAATTATTTCGACTTTTGAATTTGAATAGAAAAATAATGTGATATATATAATACGTGGTGGATCATAGTAGTTTCTATGAATTATCAGCCATCCAATGGTTCTCCCCACGATTATACGAGAATGGCACCCAATAGCAAAAAAAAGTTAATTACAAATGCATTGCCTACCTTTATGAAGGAATGAGGTCTTTTGAAAGTTTCAATTTTGTCGGTTCGGAAATAGCTTGTTGGAACGTGATTCCACAATGATTAAAAAAAAGTATTTAATTTACTAACGTTTTCGTAGCTTTCTCCCCATTTCCGGCGGCGTCTATACACGAACAATTTGAGTACAACCACGTGCTATTGTCCAGTTGATGACTGTTGAGACATCCCGCTTGGCACGGCGACAGGTACGTAAATGCGTCCTGGAAAATACACACAGCTTGATGAACCGACCGCAAGTTATTGATAAAGAAAAAAAATGGTACGCTTATGTTAAAAAGGTATATTTTTTTTATTTTTATCTCCGTTTCTGGACTGTGTGGATATGTGAACTCGGTTTAAAATTATATTTATTTACATACCTGCCCACAAACCGGACTGAAGGAGACATTCTCGCAGTGGCAGTCGACGCTGCAGCTGAGGTTGCCGTTCGCATCTCCGTTGCCCAAATAACGAAAATTCTCCTCGGGACAGCTGACAAACATCAGTAGCACCATACCTGGAACAAATAAGCTCTCTTCTTAGTTCAGGAATGTCAACTGAGATAATTGAGTCTTCGTATGCCAATCTTCTGCTTTCGAATGGCTAACTAAAGATACGGTAACAAGGTATGCTAATGGTAGAAGTAATCCAATGAGAGTGTATTACGTTGTTTCGTACCTGTACGTTCGTTTGTATTAATAAATATGATTGTATTATTCTGGGTGTTTTATATATGTATTTACAAAAAATATCATATTTTCTAGTTGTCTACCTTTGCAGCTATCCATTACACAAGCTTGGGCTTACCTTGGGACTACATGACGTTGTGTGAATTGTCCAAAGTATTATTACTAAAATGTAATATGTTTATGATATAAATAAAAAAAAGCATACCAGCACTGTAAATAGCCGCAGTGGCCGCCGTCCACGCAGCGACCTGACGAGCAGTCGGTACCAACTTGAGGATTACCACCCCGGATGTTATGATGCCCACGCCCATCACAAGAATACCACCCAAACCTGGAACGCATTGACAATCATTAATAGGAGATAGTTATATTATTTTAAAGAAAATTATTTCCATAAATAAGTATTGTTGAAAACATATGTATACTAGTTGTGCCCACGGTTTCACCCGCGTGAAATTTATAGTTCATATGTTATTTTGATGTATAAGCTATATTACTGTAAAGTTTCATTAAAATACGTTCAGTAGTTTTTGCAGGAAAGAGTAACAAACATCCACAAAAATACTTTCGGGTTTATAATATTATCAAGATTAAGATGTACCACTTTAATTGGCAGTACAGTACAGTACCAGAGAAGAAAGTACTCTTACAAGTGATAGAAAAATATCGCGGTTTCAAAGGCCACGTCCACACACGCCAAGGATTTCTTACAGACTAGGCCTTAAACACAGCTGATTGCAGCATCTTACTATCCCATATAAATTGACTACATATAACATGCTCACATCAACTACTATGACAAAGCAAGAAATAGATTATTTCAAAATATCTTATAAATAATGTTTGAGATCATATTTGTTATCTTTTTCTTTTCAACAAGAAAATAATAATTTGAGTCTGAAGTTGGTTACACGCGACTGGGATAAACTCTATGAACTACTAAGAGCAGTGCCGTCACTGTCCGAGCAAATATTGGTATTATTTTATGAAATTACAAATCAACAGGGACTGGTACGGGGTTCTTAAAAAAAATAAGGTGGAGCAAGCACCTATGATATCGGATCTACAATTGCGGTAATACCTTCCATTACGATCAGGAACTAAGGACCAAAAGTGTATCTCTAAAAAAGACTTTTATTACGTTCAGAAATAGAGCTATAAATAATCTTTGTTCAAATTAACTTAATATCGGGAACTCAATAAAAATAATTATACTTATAAATAATGACCGCTTCAAACTTAAAAATGTACTTAATATATGCACTTTTAAACAGTCAGATATTTTTTTATTCTATCACTCATTCAAAACGCAGACTCATCACATGAAGAATGAATAAGAAATTTGTGTGTTGCTCAGTTAAAGAAATGTTGTTCTAAGTAAATATACATTAACAAGGATTAGGCATGTGACAATCAAAATGGTAACCACTACGCACTCAATCTTCGTTCAATCAGATAACACTGTCAGCGCTATGAGTTTTAAGTTTGATTTTTCTACAAAAACATTATCATTTATAAACTCTTCAATTTTATAGAAAACTTTTTTACAAAGAAAATGCTTTATATGACATTTGAATTTTTCAGAAAATCTTTTTTTTTTTTTTGAAAATTGTATCCGAGACGCTTTAACACATATAGATGACATTACCCAAACCGTGACTTCCGCAACTGTACAAGTAATGTTCATCGTAGTACCTCACCCGAGACAAGGTTGGCGTCGTGTGTGGGCAGCCGGAACTGCTTCTCCAGGTACTTGGGGAGGAAGCTGTACACGCCGCTGATGGGCATTAGATGCAGCACGGAACTCGCCGTCCGCCACATCAGGATGTCGTTGGTCAGTTGCCGTTTGATTGTTGCGAAGAAATCTGCACTCAAAAGAAGAAATATGTTGTGTTAAAAAATGGCACATTTAACGGAAAAGTCTCAACGTCGTCTATATACATGAGCAGAACCAAGAGTCTTCCAGAATATTTTTTTATGGATGATAATGGAATAATGCACCCGCCTGCTCTAACGGTTTACGCTAGCGGGGAGCGGAGTGGGAGACCAATACAAACAAACAATCAAGCTTGCCCTGCGAAGACTTGAACCCACGACCATCGGAGGACAGGCCGTGTTATAACTACTAAGCCAGCCAGGCTGTCATTATAATACATATTTAAATACAACAGTGTTTTATATAACTGATGACAAACAAGTTGACGGCTCACCTAATGGTAAACGATAATAAAAAAAAGGCGAAAGGATGTCGCCACAAAAGAAGGATGTCGCCTTTATATACGTGAACATCACTATTGTATCACGTTATCATGTGACTGCTACCACTCATGCGTTGCCATTCTAGAGTACTAAAATGTCATGCCTCCATACAAAGTTGTACAAGAAATAAACCACTAGACCACTAGTGGTTTAGCGCACCGCTTTATTTCCGATGGTCACGGGCTCGATTCTTCGAACGGTGCAATCATTTGTATTCATGAGTATGATTATTGTTATGAGTATGATTGTTTTTATCAGCCGGGTTGTTGTCTATGTACCTATAACACAAGCTCTGATTAGCTTGGGACCAGATGGCGTTGTGTGTAAGGTCCAGCACTGTTATTATTATTTCCTAGGCTTATTTTAAATATGGTACCAAGTACTATAAGAAGTTACGAAGTTGCGTAGTATTCCGTCCACATTTGCCCGACACGTGCGCCGTACATAATCTTATCGACATCGTGTTTGATATTTCGAGAGTCAACGTATTCGACCTTGCCCTTACAATGATAACAATTCTTAAAATCATCCATTCTAAACATTTATAAATCTTGATAGTACGATATATCTTTGCAATCAATTTGACACATTTTCCATTTAGCCAGGCAAAGACCGTTAGCTTGCAGATTGGCAAACAGAAAAATACAATTTGGTTCTAGGGAAAAAATAAGGATTCTCTATTTCTTTACTGTTTTAAAGTACAACTAGGGTAAATATTTATTCAATGTTTTTAAGGTGGTATTATTATGCTTTCTCTCTCCGTCATGAATAAGCCAGATCAAATATAGGATAAATTTAAAAGAAGTCCAGAATTAACATTTTATATAAATATAAAGTTTTTGTAGGTTCTAGATCTCAAAATGATCGTTTTATTTTCTTCAGAACTAATCTTAAAACTCAACAAATACGAATCCGAATTTAAAAAATCCTAAATGTTGGCATATATTCAAAATCTTATTATTCAAAAGATATTACTTTCAAGAGGAACTCACACTAATTTTGTTAATTTGCTTTAATTATCAATATCTTCGAATATAACTAATGAATACTGTTGCTTATCTAAAAATATATAAAAACAGAGATTGACGTGTGACGTGATTGCACAACTGAAATATTAAATTACGCACAGGTATTTCTTACATAATTACAGTGTTGCCACCATAGTAGGTTTACCACTATAACTGGTAGATACCCCTTAGGTGAGTTTTATTTGTTTGTATTGGCTAGGGGATTTTTAGTTGTCTTAAAAAGACTTTATAAATTACAAATTTTAAGTTTTTACTACGTAGAACAGTAAACATGTTTACTAAATGTAGCTGTATTGATTTCCTCTGTACAAAACAGATTTGCTTATTAACATCGTATCCCTATACAATTGGACTAAACAATTTCTGATTTATTTCAGTATTATATCCTTATATTTTTAATAAAAACTACGTACAAATCTTGTACGATATTGAAATTTTGGTTTAATTTATTTACGTTCAAAATTTGTTGTTTATTTAGTAGTTTCAGGCCATATGTTTGCAACACTAACGAGATGTAAAAATATCCACATCTGCATTATATAAGGTAAGTAATCACGAGGAAAGTATTTCCCGATTATAATAATGTACTTTAAATATAGACATAAATATTATTATGTAAGCGTAATGGATTCCTTAGTATTAAAATTACATTATAAGGGGCATAATATCAATGCCCCGTGCATTGATATTATGATAACGTGATGTCCGTAGGGGTGTCACAAAATAATGTGATATAACGCTGCCTGCTCTAAATATCTCTAAATATCTATGTTCATGCATAGAAATATTTAGAGCAGGTACTACCCTACCCTACTACCTATCAATTTAATAATAATAAAATCCCTGAAAGCATAAAACGAGCTGATAATAATTATTTAGGAGGAGCAGCAGGAGCTCAGCAGACGCTACAGCAGACTATATAGTGACTTGAGAACAAGCTCTCAAATCGTGATATTAAGTTACATACCTACTTTATTTTATAAATTGTATTAATTTCCATCAATGTACATTCTTAATTAAATTAATAAATATATAGGCGACGGTTGCCGATTAACATCAGACAATAATAATAATCTCAGGACAATTCACACAGCTCAATCTAGACGCAAGTTAAGCTAGCTAAAGCTTGTGTTATGGGTACTAAACAATTAACACAAATACATAGATATTAGACATAGAAACACCCAGGCTGTTAGCTTCTTTACCATTCTAAATCCATAAAAAATAAAGAGTATTATGCGTCGTTAGTAGAACATTCACCTTTAAAGAATGGTTCCCGTTTCTCTTTGCTCTTCTTGGGCGGTGGAGGCAGTGGTTCTTGTTTGATCTGCCGCGGGAAGCAGAACATGAATGATGATAGCAACACTATGAAGCTGGCGATGAACACCATACCTGCAACAACAAACAACGTTTTATTGCATGTAGATATTAACTAGCTGTTAAACCGTGAATTCATGTACTGTTTAATATGATCCTCTGTTCTATGTGACCTCGTGGTACAATCTATCAAATAGGATATGTTCAGAAGTCTAAGGTTATAAGGTGACAAACAGACAGACAGACTAATTCGGATATTTTGGACATTTATAATCTGAGATGAATAAGAGATATATACTTCTGCAGTCTATATAAGGTTTCTTCAGAATCGGGATTCATATAGATTTCTATATGAAGCGCGAATAATTTTCCATTATTTATATAAATTTAGTAGATTTTTATTATTATTCTTTATTAATGTTACACATATCATGAAGCATAGAAATAATGTTCTAAAAACTGAATTTCCATAAAAAAAAGTAGAGGAAGACCTAAAATGTATGAAAAAAGAAACGTCCAGAAAAAGAGCAATCAGTGTTAAGTAGCAAGTAAAAATTTATAAAAAAAAAACAAATTACAATACTCCCTAATTTGACATCTTTCTGACACAATACAGTGACGTATCGTGCCTCTACATTTTTTTCTCTCAAACTACACTCAACTAAAAAGCTAAAGATCTGACATTTAGCTATCCAGAATCCCAAGCAATGTCGGTCTCTGTGTTCATCACAAAGTCATCATCAATCACAATATATATCACAATATTGTTGATATATTATTAAATTATCATAGTTCATAGAAAACTAATCATTTTAAACTAATTAGGCGAATCAAGATTCTGAAAACGATAAAATACTTTTATAATTTTATAATTAGTCTATACTATACCGCTTATCAACTATTTACTCAGTCTATTGTTTTAGGATGCCGAACTAAAAATATAAAACGAAGGTGCGACTCTTTACTCTATCTTTATCATAAAGATATTTTAGAAATTAAATACCATTAATTAAATTTATTTCATTATAATAAGATATTGTTTTCTCAAGTGAAATTAAAAACTTGATATAGAAAATTTACTAGTAGTGCAAGAAGATTTATTTCTATCCAATTAAAATTAAAGCACTAATTTTAGGCACTTTTAAAAAGTCACACTTCAAACGACTAAAGGTCTATGTATTTATTATAAATGTAGCTCAATGCTATATTATCTTATTATCTATTAATTAAATTTATAACCTATGTATTATTCATCAGAATAATACATCAGTATAAGCTAAAGATATTAAATATTATTAGCTGTAAAGTTTCATCAAAATCCGTTCAGTAGGTTTTGCCTAAAAGAATAATAAACATTCGTCCATCATCCATCTATCCATCCATATTCACAAACTTTCGCGTTTATAATATTAATAAGATTACAAATATTACTGCTATAATACATTCTAACCTTGACGTTATCTGTTCTAATAATAATATGTACATACTTCGCAAAATTCCCATAAAAATTGCGCTCACACAAACATGGGGCATTTATGATAATGTAATAATGATACGAATGTTAAACATCAACACCACGTAACAACTACCACATTTATTCAGCTACTTCCTGCCCAAAAAGCTGATCGTTCAACCGGACGTTATGTACCTTGAATATTATAACAATTCTCAACAACGGTTATAATGTGCCAAATATTTCTACATCCATTATCATGGAAACTATAAAACAAAATACAAACACAATCCATTTTGATTTACCGAAATCGGAAACCAATGATCCCCATAAACAGTGGCAAAAAAGCCGCAAATCCGTGGGCAACATAAAAACTGCTAACGATGAAGCCAAACAAATAGCGAACATAGGAACGAGATGTGTTGTTTGTACAAGCTATCAACACGATCGCATATATGAAATGTTCTAATTATATAAATTATCCAGACACAAGTAAGAAACGTGGCAAGAGGCATACTAATCCGTTTGAACTTATCATCGGGGTAAGAGCTGAAACGTCACGCTCTGAGTGGCGCCGCCAACCGAGACGAATTGCACGAAACATAATTTAAACAAGTACGTAGAGTGAACACATCATGTTTTTACTTTAAACTTGCACAAGTTCAGTTTTCACTAGATATCTTATTCATCGTCATTGCAAAGACCTTTACTAGTATCTGGATTGTATCCGTTATCCCTTTCCACTGCTTCATGCAAATTTATTTCCCATAGAATACTTTAGTGCATGTTGTCTATCCCACATTTTGGTACACACTCTTTTAGAATTATCCACTTTTATATTCAAAACCTTAAAACATGGCTATCGCGCCTCTGACTGCGCGGGCATAACTTATGGTATTCCATAAATTATACAAACCCTGTTACAACAATTGAAAGCAAAATACAAGCTAGATGAGGCCTGGTTCTAGATTAATGAAACTCATAAGCTGTCTTAATTGGACAGTGAAATATTTAATTTATAGTAATACCGAAACTGTTGTAGAGGAGAAAAGGTAAGATGATTATTCCAAGAGAAATACAAGTAGGACTCTCTAAGGCGATTCTGAAAAAATATCTTTATAGTTTGCGCTTTATATCCTACATGCACTTAATTTCTTTTTGTTTACTTAATCGCATAATAACCCGTTGCTATTACATTTTTTAACCCATGATATTAAAACTTTATTAATGTATATACTAACATATCTTACATACCACAAGATAAGATGTTTAACATTTCTGATAACACTACGTGCGTTTTTACGATATATTTTTTTATAGATATAAGTATACAAACAGATGACAGTGCAAAATATTGATCTATTACAATACACATTGACAATGTCTATTGTGTTTCCACAACAGCAGAGGCAGTAGCCGCAAACTACATAGAAAACATACGGAATCATGGCGCGCAAGTCATAACATATTAACTCCATTAGACCCAAGAACAGAAACGTTTGCGCAGTAACAAGGTCGGCCGGTCGGCGTTCAGTCAAGGGCGTTTGCAACTAGACAGTATTGAGTGCGATTTAAAATTGTTTACGATGGCTACTGACGGTATCTACTATTGAAACACGTGACGTAACAAGTCCTTTATGCAACTTATCCCGGGTGGTGAGCTTGACATTTGTATCATAGATACGCAAGGTCAACAGGGAACCGGTTTAAAAGTAAAAGTGAGCAAGACGGCACGGTCGCGTGTCCACCCACTAAATCCTCATTACTGACAGCGACGGCATAATTGTCGACAACAAGGCGCGCAGCCTTGGCCGTGACCGGCCGATAGAGCGCTTATTTTAGTTGTGGTGACGCGCCGTGATGTAAGTGTTATGTAATGTGCGCGTGCGCCGGCGCAGCGTGACGCCGAGAAAAAAGCGAAAGCAGAGTGGAAATTGCAACGCAAGCATATGACGATCGAGAGAAAAGCGTGCTTGTAAACACCAGCTGATGTATAGTAAACATCTCGAATAGCGAACGTATTATGAAATAACAATAAAGACAACCAAATTTTTCATTCTGTTGATATCAATGAAAGATAGTTTATTAGATCTTCCATTACTGAATCATGTACAACATAACGTAAAGCAATCTTTATAACAATTACTTCGTCATTTCTACACAAAACAGACGTTACTCCTGCATTTTCTATTTATTTATTTTAAATCATCTCCTGTTTACAATCTTTTTCGTTTATTAATATAACCTAATTAGACTACTATATAAGCTTTGCTACTAAAGTCTATTGAAATCTTTAGTAATCAAACTAAAGTGAAGTAGTATACGATTTATCAAAAACATGAATGATATCAATTACTAAATGGCCCAATTTAATTATACTTAGATAATCAATGCAATTAGATTTTATTTCAATTCTTTAGATTAGAGTAAAATCTTTACGTTATCGAAAAAAAATATTACGCTTTGATAACGTTCTCGAATTCTATAACGATAAGCATCTAAATTTCCTATACTTGCTAAATAATAATAAGTCCCGCTGGCAGACAATTATGTGGCACTCAAAGCTTCAATAAATGTTTTATGTAAAAAAATACTTAGCCGAAACTTAAATATTTTTGTTTCTAATGAAGAGAAATGAACGATGTTCCAAGATGCACTTGGGTGGCTGCCTGAATAAATATTCACTATTATTTAAATTTAATCACAGAAGTATTTGAATTAGGTTGGCACAGTAGAGAAAATATGCAATACATATTACAAACGAATTACAAACTATACTTCATAATAAAATTACGGACGATTCAGATAAATGTATAAATAAAATAAAAGTAATAAATAATAGTTAAGTTGTTATTTTCAATATCAAAATTATAAATAATTTTTAGAAGAATTTACATTAACTATTAAGGAAACGAAGAAAACAAATCAAAACTAAGCGTTTAAAAGAGATAATAATGTAATAACAGATACAAATACTGGCGAGGTATCCGTTAAATAACTTATTAAAATTCAGAACTTCATTCATGAACTTACAGCAGTCAAACAATAAGGAAATACGCAGAAACCATTCAAAGAGGATTCGCGAATTCGCTTTATTATGAGTCGAAACACGTTTGTAGCAGTTTTCTACCGGCGCACCAACATATCATTTGACTTTGTATTTTAAATGCTAGCGAAGTTTGGCCTTTATTTAATACGTGTTAGTGAAAAGTGATTAGTTGCAGTGAGGTCGTATTACATCGGAGTAAATACGCACGCATTGTTTGGTACTTCGGTCACGCGCGTGCTTTCTTCGTGGATTTTGCACGCAAATCTACGCTAGCACGTCGATAACGGTAGAGGTCGATTCCGCAATGGAATGCCACGTTCTTCAGTTCTAAAATCTAGACGGGATTCGCTTAATGGTCATTTATTTATATATATGACTAATACATTATGATGAAAGGTCGTATTAGTAGATTCCTCTATACTGTCAAAGTGTATCTACTGAATACTTAATTTGACGACTAAAGCAATAAACGATGAACATAACACTACCACTAATGAATCAGCGATACTAATAAATAATCATCAATTGAAATTATAACCACACTCAATATTTCAATCAACCATGGATGTTGGATTAACATCAGTATTGCAGAGTTCATTTAAGGTAGGAACCACATAAAAATGTTTATGAAAGTAATTAAATAATATTCCTATACCTAATGGTCTTAGCAATCCTTTGGGCTTTTTATAAAATTTTAAGAGTAAAGTAAGAACAGTAATATTACAGGCGCGACTTCTTCATCGCCGTAATTGATTTCCAAAAAGACGGGAGAATAAAAACATATGATGATTCACAAGCGTCTGTAACAGATTCTGAACTTGTGTAGCGTATTCATATAGGCATAAATGACTGATTGATTGCGTGAGATGCCTGTGGCCCCTCCTCAAAGTAATAAACACTACTTCGACCAAGTTTTAGGGTTTTCAACGTAACAATATCATAACTTTGATTTAATATAATAAACCTTACTGTAAGATATTAAGAGCAAAATGTTGAAATCAATTAAAAGACTAAGATGTGAATATAAACAACAATAAAAACCCGTTTAAAAATAACAGTAAGGTCTGGACGCTCTGACTCCCATTTTAAAATTAATATGAAGAAATCAAAAGAGTAAATAACATTTTGCTTCAACAAAGGATCTTAGCATAAATTACACTAATACGGTACAATTAAATAATAAGACTCAAACAAGTGACTACTTATATGCATAACAGATTTCCTATAAGGCCAACTGCTAACGTATAATGTGCGTGGTTACATCAATAAATTAATGTTTATTTGGTGTATAAATCATATCTAGCCAGTTGTGTATTCATTGCTTTTAATGGTAAACTAGTACAGGCCTGCGACTGCATTTAATAATACTGAACGATATTTTCGAATTTCACAAACGTTAAAAAGAATTTTGTGTCGATTGTTGTAAATCCTCAAGTCTTTGGTCAAATGTTATTGACTTTTATCAAAATTATAGGATTTTCTTTTAAGATGGTATTTTTCAGATTATTATCCTTGATAATGGGTATATTGATGTTAAAACACCACGTTTTCAATTGACTTATAGTTTATGTGCACTTTTATACTACTCGGTGAGGCTAACAATGAAAGAAACTGTCGGTTTGTAAGATGAAAAGTAATAACTGCCTATAGTTAAACAAATTATGAATACATAAAGTATAATATACTAAATATTCTAACCCTAGTCGTATTGGAAGTTTTTCTTATATATATGGTGATAGCTTACTTTTGTTAGCTTTTTTATTGAATTATTGTAGCATTTATACAGCTACTATATGTAATCATTCGTGTAAATAAAAGCGCTAACAAATCGCACGATCAAATTTCGCAGTGCAGATCAATGTAAATCAAATGAAACTGTTTACTCAAACGTAAGCAAATCACTAAAACTCTACCTCAGACGTAAGCGAGTCATGAAAAACTCTACCATTAATATAGAATGAATTACTTCCAGATGTATCCATAAAAAATAATGTTGTAGTAATTACAACTTCAATGGAAGCATACTTTTGATTTTAATTTAACATTTGATTTATACTAAATAGTATACAATAACACCTCTAATCATATTTGTATGAGCTGTATTAATAAATATATAATAATCTTTATTAGACATTCAAATATGTGTCCCAGCGTGTTACATAGCAAGTGGCGTAGAAGTCACACGTAAAAGAAGTAGTATCAGTGTTAAAAATAATAAGTAGGTAGGAGTACATATTATAATGTTACATAAACAGGCAACAAATCAGTTCGTATGTTACATAGCATCAACTAATTATAAAAATAATCGTACAAATACGTTCTTTTAAAAACAAAGATTTTCAATCATACACAAATGAGACTGTCAGATTGACATCTGATTTTGGAGTTGGCAATAGTTAAGTCACTTACCCAGCCACCAAGCGCCGACCCATTTTGGATCATTGGAATCGTAACCAGGGTCGTATAGTGGATTCACATACACACTTGTGCACACCGCTCCGAGAAGAAATCCCAAAGCTGGACCAATTACTCTGATTCCGATGGTAATCGCTGTGGAAGAAGAAAACATTTTAATTATTAGGTATTTTAATGGTTATAACATATTGAAACATATAACATCAAAATACAACATATTGACATTAGACCTGATTAATATAATGGTTTTTACCATCACCAGCACCGCTTTACCAGCACCGCTCGTCATAGCCAGGGAATTCATCCCGAAACGCTAGAACCAAAGTGGTCTCGAATAGTCGGGTTTCTGGGAGCTTCCCCCCGCGTACACTTAAGTTATGGAATGGACTACCTACTAAGATATTCTCTAGAGGCAACAGCATGAGGTTTTACGGGTATTTTAAGGTTTCTTAAGAATCGGCAGCACGCACGTGACCCCCTGGTGTCACTTGGTTTCAGGCATCATAAGCTACGGTAACAGTTTACTATCAGATTGGCCATATGCTTGATTGACAATATCGTAGTATAAATTACCGGCTACCTGTTGCGGCGACTTCGCACGTATAAACCGGTTTCCGTAGGATACATATTATACTAAGAAATAAAATATAGTTTATGGTTTCGTAGTCTACTCAAGGATAATATGCATAGATTTCTATTGGTGAAAGTCTGAAGAGCAAATATGAATATAGTAGCAAGTCTATACATGTACAAAAAATACCCAGCGGTAAAATGAATTGAGGATAAAGCGTTATTATTCACCTCATCCTTTCTAAATTTATGAAGTTTTTGTGAGTAGTCGCCAGAGAGAAATTACACTTATATCGGTCTGAGTCCATGGGGCCTAAACGTATTTTCTTCACTAAAAAGACAATTTGTTATAATACAATCATGTGTAATACTAAAAAGAAACTAAGAGAAAACAACAACAACGGCCATATAGTATTGCCATAAACATAATCTTTTTATGAACATCAAATTTCTCCGTTGCTATTCTGACGTAAGGCTCATATGGCAATTAAATTGTACGTCAACCACACGCATATATCCAATTGTCTAACCATCAGCTGCAAGTGACTGTAATTAGTAGTTCTATTGCACGTTGCATGCAACATGTAAGTACCTACACGAAATCTCATGCCATCAAAAATCAGAGGAAAACACCAGTGTAATTTTTGAACGGTTAATCTTGTAAATATTAATGGACGTAATAACAGAGGCGGAGATAGTCATTATGCAAATTGAGATGGACTCTCGTACGCTGAATGAACCGCAGCCGTTTATCTCAATAGGAATAGGGCTCAAAGGCTAATAGAGGGCCATTGAACTAAAGAGGACAAATTATCCTATAAGGGATTGTAAACTGCGACCGCCACTAGACCCGTGCTTAATACTCAACAAAAAAACTAATGGAATACACCACGATTATAGAAATAGGTTTTGAAATTACTCAAGAAATTACAATTCCACGAACTGCAAATGATCTTGCTTCAACTATAAACAAAGATAGACATAATTATTAATCTATGTCTATAATTGAAAAAACTTTTAAAGGTTTGTTTTCTGTTGATAATTCAAACATATTTATTCTAAAAATGTTTTTTATTTCAAATATTGAAGGTATACGTATTGATAAAATAAATTCGTGAAGGTTAGTGACCGAAAAACAATCGGGGTACTTAGGTCCCAAATGTAATATTTCCCAGAAATCAACCGCATCGCTTGCCAAAAAACGAGCAGCGCGTTCTGATTGCGTGTGTACAAAGGAAAATAAAATACATGCTCCTATTATCATCATGATGCGCTTTTGTAATAAATAATAACCACGTCTGTGTTGCGTTTTTGAAAACAGGCATCGATCGCGTCTCTGTAAGTACAAGTTTTTATAATGTCCCGGCGCACTCGTCTTTACTGGTTCTGATGCATCATTAACATTGTTCTCAAGTGCTGCTCCAACGAATTAACTCTCAATGATTGTCAAAAAATGAGGAATTGCGTCATTAAATTCTCTCGGTATGCGGATCTCGTTTCAAGATTGTACGCTTCGATACAGGAGGATGAGTTGAATCTTTTAAGTATTTTAATGTATCACGATTTACATTACAATTAATTACTTAATTATTACATATCATGTTACATGTTACCAGAATAATTTATTTATATTTATGATCAACCTATTACTACTGCTTTTAATCAACCGTATTAATGATAACATTGTATTCGTCAGTACTTCTTATCCTATCTTCGTCACTTAGTCATTGTGTTATTGGTAACTTAACTAGTTGAGCTACTGCTACTTTTATAATACTTATAGATGTTCCTCTTTTATGTATATTTTTTGGTGCTTCTGACTAAGACGAGCAAATAAGTGTTATAATCTAGATACATAATGTTATTACTTTATGCCAAGAACATTCAGCTAGTACTATTATGCAACTGATACTGGCAGTTAAACTGACATATCGCTGAACGGGAAGTAGTAACAGATATTTTTAAAAGGAATATATGTTACGACATTTTACTACAATCAGGTATCTATGATTTGTATACTGGTGCATTTTCGTATAATTTTTCCCATATACACGTTATTAAAGATCTACAAATATAAATAGTTTTGTTATGAGGCATTCATAAAATAAATACACGAAATGCGTTTTAAGTTACAATAGAAATATAAAATAGGTGTATTTAAACTTAAATTAATGAAAAATACAAACATCGATGATATAATTTATAAATACATATTACACACTTTAAAATACCAACATATAGATATGAAAGGCATCAGGGCTGGAAGCGATAACCTTGCTGCGTCCGCCGCAATAAATAAGGTCATCCAACAAAACAGTCACTATTTCTATAATATTGAAATCCTATTAATATTATAATCGTGAATATTTGTGCCAATGTTTGGCAAACTGGGCCGATGGCTGGCTGAACTAGCTGTTGTTGGGAAAATAGAACAGCTTATGTCCTGACACAGAAAATTCTACTCTATTCAAAGCACAAACATTACAAATACTAAAATCTGCCATAAATCTTTTTAAGTGTATATTTGTCCCAATTCCAGTAGAAGAAAATGTAGCAGAAGTACTCGAAATGAAAGAAATTAGCAATCCGTACGCAAGAAATAATGATAAAACATAAAACATTTTCAAGCAATCATACGTTGCATTGCCGATGCAACTAACGGTCCTCCTCGTTGAATAAAAAATAATTGTAAATTACCAATCACCGTACAGCATTCGTTCATAAAGCAAAAAAACTATTACACTCGATTACCCGTACATACCATTGTGTACGACGCGAAGTTTATAAAGAAAGGATGCCTTTAAAAAATTAACAAGCCAAAATTTTACAAGTAAAATTAACGGACGACCACACGCGGATTTCTGGTGAAACGGCAATAACGATACACGCATAAGATTATTACAAGACAAGACCAAACATAGTGTCGCTTCATATACTTCGTACAACAACTAACAAATTATTAAAAACCATAATATTGGAAGAAACAAAAGAAAATAAATTCAGCACAATGGTCATTGCACTCATTGTAGAATTGTTTTTGAGAGGATGACTAACACCTTGTCTTGAAGTATGAACAGATAGTCTTGCTTCTACGAATAAATGTAAATGTATAAAAAATATACACCTGTTCAAACACGTATAACTTGGTTACATGTTTTCAAATAAACTTAAGTGATTGTGTTTTATATTTAATAGGACTAGACATTACGATATCTGGCCTGTGAATAGCTATAACCACGCCTATTAGAAAACTGTACTGTACGGAATATAAGGAAGGCAAAAGAAACTAATATAGAATTTATATGATTACATATAGAATTTATAAGATTTTGATTGGTGTATATTATATTGAATAATAAAGTTGGAAAGTAATATGTTGCTTTATAGCCTCGAATGCTATCATACGATTGTAAAAGAAATTGCATACAATGCTTGTTTATCTAATCTAGCATTCGTAATCTAATCTCGTATAGTGTTGGAAACTGACCTATGTCAACCGCGAGCGATTACTACGTAATTTGATAGCTCGCAAAAATATTGCATAAGTGCAATAGGTACGAGGTATGTAGACCGAGACAGTATAGAGAACACAACATCTGGTTTCCTTACATTAATATACTCGTATATCTATGAGTTTAAATGTTTTAAATTTATTATTACCAATTTATGTAAAATTACAGTAATCTGTATTATTATAACCATAAAAAATCTTGGAGTTTTGTCAATTCTTTCCGGATTAAGCATTTTTCTTTCTTTCAAATCTACAGTAGCTTAGTAGTACTCGACATAAGAAAGAAAGAAGAAACAGAAATATATTTAACGACTTCTTTGGTCTGGCTGTTTTACTTCCAATGGTCGCAGTTTCTGTTCCTCATATGGTACAAACATTCGTATTCATGAGTATGATTGTTTGTATTGGCCTGTGTGTTATCTATGTGTATTATATATGTATGTATTTACATAACACAAGCTCTTATTATTTGGGACTAGATAGCGTTGTATGAACTGTCCAAGAGTAATATTATTATACTTATTTGGCGCATACAATCTACAAAGCATACATATACATTTGACTTAACATAATATGTATCGGACTGAGTTACAGGAAAAATATTTTCATTCAATTTATTTATCTCGAATAGCAATATATAATAATACCGTGTGTCTGAGTGTACCCTATCTATGACATTTATAGTGCTATTCTTTTCTGTTGGATTAATTTCCACGAGCAAAAAAATAAATACAAAAGATTTTTTTTCCTATAGGAATTCTAATTCATAAAACTTGTTTATAGATTCTACTAACGGTGAACGTGAAAATTGATAAAGAAGTTTAAAGGTTTCGATATAAAATACTCAATCATGCAGAAACTGATTGAATGAACAAAACCGTTGTTAAACACAATGCAAATTAACTTATTTTTATTAAATTGAGATTGAACGAATACGAATACTCCTCTTAAGTAAAAATAATTAGCCCTATCAGATGGTAAACGGTTACCATATTATACAACCTATACCTATACTGTAAAACCAGGGGTATCACGTGCGCCTTGTCGACCCTTAAGAAATCTTAAAAGACCCTTCATGAATACCCCATACTATAGTCTCGCGTAAAAACCTCGACAGGTAGATCCCTTCCACAATCTAAGGGTATGCGTGATTTTATATTATATGAGAAAATAGTGCAACTAAAATGAAAGGTATATCATTGAATTTATTAAACAATAATATCTTATATAACTTGAATAAGAGTGTGGATTGCGATAATAAATTATATACAAATATAATAACATTGAAGAGTAGTGCTAACAAACAACACATATCATAAATATCTTTGTATGCTCAGAAATGTAAAGACAATTCATTTTATCTCTATCATGCATTACATTATTTAACTATACGCTCTACAGAAGACGGGTACAAACAAATGGAACACTGTTGCTAGTTGTTTAATTGTTATTCATTAACGAGATTTCACTATAATTAAGATAACCTTCACTGATTTAATTAACAGTATTAATACATTTTAAATGAGAGATTATAAAGCAAAGGAGTAATGGCTGCATGATTCTGAGGTAGCGACTATGAGACAGTTTCAAAACCATAGCTAATTATACTATATACATATATATATATTTCACAAGGTACATTAATACTCATAATAAAAAATCTCAATCTTAATAATTGAAAAATAGGAAAATTAATTTCGCGCCGTATTAAATCATCTGTTATAAAAAAACTCAATCTTTGGTCGCAACATGAAATCCTGTGGGTGCAAATGAAATTCGAACCTCAATGGAGACATTAAATTTAATTCACAAAGTGGCCATTTGATACAAATGGCAGTTTGATTGGGATTATATAGCACTGTGTGGGACAATATTAACCACGAGCTAAGTTTGAGCTTTAACTGTCAACGATGAATATACTAAGCGAAGCAGCGATATATATCTAGATTTATATTTATCTATAAGTTCATTTTTTTAATAAAATGCGGCTCATATTACTTGCTAATGATGATGAGCGTTCTATAGACGATTTTTAAAATTGTTTATGTAGTTAACTCTTTATACTTAATAAGTTTTTAAGTTTAGGTATATCTTCAACATAAAATTCTCGTGTCACAATGTTAGTTGCCATACTTCTCCGAAATGTATTAATCGATTTACATGAAATAGTATATATGCACTCGGTAGATCTAAGAATAGGTTGTTATCTATTTTTTATACATCTAAATAATAAGTGAGAGCAACCCCAAAATTTTCTTTTATATTTTGGACACAACTTTTAATTTTTATTCTTTTAAGATGTATCATTTAAAAGCACATTTCTTCTTAAATTTTCACTGTTCTATCACCAACCCCTATTATTTTTATAGCGATACTAGTACATTAATTTATATGGCACATTTGCCAGGTCAGCTAGTAACATTATATAAATTGTTGTAATCACAAATAATCAAAATGACAACGACGACTAATATGTTGAAATAGTTATACAAGGAAAATATTGATATATCGCAACAACCACGTGGCAACATGCTACAATTTAAGAAATACGTCCCACTGACCGATTTACGATAAATAACATCCAGCTAACGCTTGACTCACAGCAACTTTGTATTATAAGAAACCAAAGAGTATGTATTCTGGAGCGTAAAATAACTAGCCAGTAAGAGTATAACAGAGGGTAAGACTCCGTTTGATAATGCATCACCTATTGATTAGTTACTACGTGAACTGTAAGTATAAATAAATAATAGACGCACAAAGTTCAATAGAGCGGCAAGAGGTTAGTCGTTTCAGTATAGAAATCTTATTAATATTATAAACGCGATATTTATGACTATGAAAGGGTGGATGTGTGATGATGTTAGTCTATCACACAAATACTACGAAACGTATTTTAATGTAAAGTTACATTATTAATTATCACAATTATTAATATACGAGTAGCTTATACATCAGAATAAAACAGGATATAATTTAAAAATATATTATGTAAATTGGGCGAAATATAATGATATTTGTCAATTATGTGTGATGCAGACGAAGTTGCGTGAGTCAGGTAATCTATAATAATTACACGCCATATTTAAACATTTTTGAATGAATGTTTATAACCTCTAGAGTTTTCATAACACACAAAAATATCACAACATCTGCGTTATCTATAAAATTTCCAATACAATATGGTTATTGTGATAACGAACTAAAACGTTAATCATACATCATGTTACATATACGTAAATCCATGTATAATTTTTTTTTAAATATTTACTGCAAATTTCAATGAAGTTTCCAAATAATTTTTACCGTCTTAATCTAATAATTCGTCTTAATCTAAATAATTCACTAGCTTTTTTAATGTTTTGTTTGTTTTAGAAAATTAGCACATCATGTCTCTTTAAAATGTAGTTCAAAAACAAACCGCAATTGTGCCTACGGAAGGACTAAAGGCACATACAATTGCTGTTCGGTAAACCGCAGGTCATCGTAAAATTGCGAAGAAATAATATTGTAAAGAAGAAATAACAGTAGCTTAAAAGAATTGCATAAATGAACTTCTCAATTTGCCAATGCAGTGGATGCAAGATGAATTTAGAGCAATATAAGAGGACCGTTTGCGTGATAATATCAATGAGCTGAAATTGTCGCAGAGACAGACTGCCCTACTGGCACACTTATGCGACAACTACTGAAATAGCAATTGCATCCAATGCACTGAACTTTGCAGTACAATTTGTGCCACATTTACACATATTGCACTTGAAACAAATTGAAGGCGCCATCTCCGGCATCCTAACCTATTATATTAGACTTGCTACTCTGACGATATTGATCAATCACATTTGGTGTCATACTCCATCTATATCAGATACTTACAATTAGGTGAACAACTTAGGTGAACTAAACAAAATGACTCAAAGTCTATTTTATCCTATCCTCAAAATTTATTTTACATCCAATACCAGTAGGTGCACGAACATAGTAATTTAATGCAATTCGCAAAAGGTCGGAAACTTTAAGAAACATGTCTATGTAAGTCCCAGGACTATTATCAGAATATCCATTCAAACTGTCTAGATATTGATTATAACTTATAATATTTCTTCAAGTGAACTACTAACTTCGAGAATACCTTAATGAGCAAATGTTACCAACATGACGTCAGTGCAAATGGTATAATTTTAGAGGCAGACGGACCATACAATATTAGGTATGCTGCGAAACTATGTTGGACGTCCGCACCGCAATGACAAATCAGTAAAACGTACCCAGCCAACGATATAGACTAATATAGGTCAATAATCGTTACTATAAATTATACTAATTGGAAAACAAGTTAGCACAATACTAGTATTGTTGATTTCATGCGCTAATGCATATTGTCCTTAACATACTTATTAAATCATATATTTGAGAGAAACATTCAATTTAATTTAATCTAGACAAAATCTCTGTAGTTTATAGATTCTTCTACTATACTCCTATAAATCATATAAATTATTATCGGTTTCCAAGATTCAAGATTGTTGATTAGTATATAAAGAGCGCCCATTTACTAAAGAAAATAAATATACGAAAATAATCGCGATCACTACCACGGCCAGTTGAACAATAGGCTGTTGCTTCTTAAAAAAGAAAACAAAACCTCAATAGCGGTGAATAAACAAACCTAAGTTCAATATTCTATATTATATATGGTGTGAGGCTTTTCTGTGGCCACCACTTTCTGAAGGCCTCCAGGTGGAACGACGATCTGGTCAAGAGCGCACGGAATTCATTGGATGCGAGCAGCGTATGACCGATCGTCGTGGAGATCTTTGGGGGAGGCCTATGTCCAACAGTGGACGTCTTCGAGGCTGCGATGATGAAGGCTTTTCTGTCAGTTGTAAATGCAACAATAGCAACATTTATCAAAGACAGGAAATACCTTGAACATCTTACTCATTACAATGCTAATGGAGTATGTTTGAAAATTGTAATTAATAGTAAGTGGTAATATTTAATAATATTATTAATTAGAAAACCGCTGAGTGATAATATTATCGACTAATCTCATAAGAAATATATTCAAACATATTAAGTCTTTTTGAGTAAAAGAATTTAAAAATTAGTTCTGTAGTTGCAGTATGGATGTATATGTATGATATGATATAGTATGGATTATCCTCTTGTACAAAGAATCATATCTCATTGTAATTTATCATATATTTTTAATTGCGGCATTGCTTTTGGAATTGGCAATGAACATAAAACAATATTTGCGACTATCCTACGAAATCAGTTACTTAGTAAACTATTTCATACTGTGTTACAGGAATTATTTCTTGCTCTATCTGTAGCACCAAAGCATAGTAGACAAGGTGTTTTATATGCAGTGCTTGCAGACATAATAAACACGTAGCAATTACATTATGTCATTAACCCTCACTTCCGCCTAAATAAATCATTGTTCAGTTTTTATAGCAATTTCTTTAAAAGCATTTTCACTAATAGCAATTTCTTTAAAAACACTTCATACATGTTTAGGCTTAGTGAGCACAAAATGTTTATAAATCACTGAATTCTATTATTATCAGCTTCCAACTAATTCGAAATAATAAATTGTATTAACGATTACAGAAATATATGTAAATTGTATGCAACAAAAGCGCATTTAAGACGATTGTTAATTACGCAACTCATCAGAGGGCGTCCGGCAGAATATCTCGTAGGCGGCGCAGTGGGCGGCGGGTATGATTTATACACTTTTATGCGCCAAATTTATTGCTCGCGAAACGATAACAACAGAACCCAACGATCTTAATCGACAAATAACAATTTATGAATCGGGACAGGTAATCGAGCTTTTGTTTCGATTCGAAATTACGCCCCCTGATATTGAGCTGCGCAATTTAGAACAATACAACTATTAAAATCGTAAATGCGAAGTAATAAATTCTTATATTCACTCACCCATGTAAAGCGGGGATTGTCTGCTTCCAACATTGTCATCGACGTATGGTATGCCGAGCGTAGCGATTCCAGTTTGTCCCACACCGACGACCAATAAACATATAAAGAGCCATGGAATCACGACAGCCGTTATCGAGGACCGTGTTTCTGTACTTTTATACTGAGCAGCATCACAGTCAGTGGCATTCCCATAGTGCGAACAGACTGGCGCCGGACCCGATCTATGAGCATCCAAATGCACATCGAGCAATTTCGTGCCATACAACATATGTGGCACCACACAACCTATCACGCCGACCGCGAGCACAAGCATCATGCACGCAATCCAACGCGGTCGATGTCCACGCCCAGCCAGATAAGTGAGAAACAGCGCTGTACATATTTGACCGATTTCTGTTGCTGCTAAAAGCACTCCAGTAGTCTTCGATTCCACTTTAAACAACTTCTCAATAGTTGTAGTCACACTTACAAAATATGTAAGAAACATGCCCTGAAGCACCCATCCGGAAAGAAACACGAGCATGAAAACTCGTGTCGAGTGGAAAACAGAGCGAGGCCGGACCGGCTGTGTTGCCGGAATCTTGCAGTCAAGAGATCCATTGTTATTGCCAGTAGCTAGTCGTTCCTGTTCTTCTGGTGTGGCCTCAACGCCTTTCATGGCGGTGTCCTCGCCCGGAGGGCCCGCGGGGCCTAATTCCCCACCCGCAGAGACTGTAGCGACAACACTCGCCCTGTGACAATAGAAAAACGATAATGTAAACAAACATAATGACATTATTTTCAATATTACTAATTCTGGGTTTTATTACTCAACTCACGTCATTATCTATAGCCGCAACTATCGTAATCTACTTCACAACCCCCGGTCCAAGTTGCAGCCGCCCGAGCGGAAAGGATACGCACGCGAAGCTGATGACTGTAACGTTTCCGGATAACGGAACCACTTAAATAGTAATGTATCACGAAAACAGAAAGCTATATCAGTATGCAGGAGGACACTCGTACGCATACTCTTGCATGGAGTCGTTCACTGGCCGGCGAGCCTGCAAAGGGGTTCGTGTGGAGGCTGCGTGCGCACATGCAGCGCCACGAAGATAAACTGCAACGAGAAATTACCGGCACAGCGCGATGCACCCGCTTCACCCGCCCCTCGACTTCTCCCCACACGGGGTTTTTATTGGCCGTCTGTCCGTTTTTTGTGCGGCACGCATTTACACACGACGAGAGTCGTCTGCGCGACGCCCTCACGCCCTCCAAAGATTCCCTCTCGTCTCGACACAGCGGAATGTCTTTGTTTATCGCAGGAAGCTTTTAAGCTCATTTTTATCCATATTTTCTAATAACGTGCATTACTGCGTACAGATTGGGGTGCAGATGTGTCTAAAACCTAACACCCGGTAGAGGAGAATAGAATCGTTCCTACGTACTTTATCAACGTCCCGGTCGAGTATAATGTTTACCTTAAGTAAACACATAAATAGAAATCATTTTATAGAATAAACTTCTACTTATAAGGATTTGTCGTAGTACAAAACGGTAAACAGCGATGAATATTTTTAAATGTTTGAATATAGCAATTTCGTACAGAGGTCGATCTTCTCTCCCAATACACAAAATCGCAAGTTACAGTTAGTGAAGTAGAGTAAGGACGCCACAGAATGTGCAGATAAGTTAATTGATACATACAGCGTAACGTAGACCAAAATTCCAATGGTACAAAGATAGAGGACACATACGCTGAGTTCGTAAATAACAGCAACAGTAGAATATTAATGTGAACGACTCATACGGTTAACTGGACTTGCGAAACTCACCAGGTGAGGCCACTGACCAGAGACACCGGCCGTCCACGACGCACACTGCACTATGACGTTCAACACAACTAGTTGCAGACGGGAGTAAGTAGACAACTTACAAGAACTTACACGGTAAGTACAAAATATTTAGAAACGGGTCAAACAGACCATTTTTTCACGTCCGATAACAAATAGAGTACAATGACGAATGAATTCCGAGATACACACAAACTTGTTGAGCGAGCTATCGGTGCAACGCTATCGTTCCAGTGATAACAGGATGAGAGTCAACTACTTATGGGGCAGGCTGGTAACCTAATTATCTCGAACGTCAATAGACAATTCTACCAACAGTAACTGATACAGAGACAGCATTTCACTTTTTATGTCCAACAAATTTAAATTATGTATGTAGTATGGCAATATTAATGAAAATCCATTACATCAATAGAATACGAGAAGTAAAGAATAATTACTAGTACTACTAAAATAAAAATATATATATATATAATATAAAAATATGTACTTATTGTTACTACATAATAGGATACCCGATAAGGGCTTCTATAGCATGTTTTAAGAACTTAATTTATTTCTGTAACTTAAAACAATTTGTAGTATTTGTAAAGGTAATGGTATATATATATTACTATAGTACACTGCACTCTATATGTCCATAAGAAAAGAGGTAACTGTTTTCCTGTGTTTGCGCAGTTCCTTATTCCACATCCTCCTATAAAGTTACAAGATCTGGAAAATTTATGACGTCTTGTGCTGTAATATACGAGCAGTCGGCTAGACGGGCAGGATAAAATACCAAACGGAACCTTTGTACGTTGTAGTTTAGCCATTTACCTACGGTACCACAAAATAAAAAGCAAAAAATACTCGTACAATAGCAAAAACACGGAACCCCTTCAAAATCCGATTACTATATATTTTTTTTATGAATTTGATGATATCTAATACGCGAATGTACAAAAATAAGGATTATATTGATGTCCAATGATAATATATATATGAAAGACCCGCGAGTCATACAAATCCAGAAAGAAGGACAATAATTGACGATTCATTTAATCTCTAGTGCGATTGAGTGGCAATGAATCATATGACAGAGCGCCGAACCAACCTATTAGTATGAATTGAATAAACTAACGTTACAACACAACGGTCATAAAAAGTAGATATATTTAAATTAGAGTTTGCCTACGAAATACAAACACGCAGTTTGGAAGACGAAAAATTTCCAACAGCGCCATGACCTTGCTTAGGATTCAGTAACGTTAAAAGATGAGTAAATCATGAAACGTCAAAAATAACATCCACGTCAAACCCATATCAAAATTGAAATACAATAAAATACAATCTGTTTTCAGAACTACATATGTGAATATATATTTATATAAATTTACACAGTGCTTAGAATTCATTAAATATTTTGTTTCATAAAAGGTAAACATTATGTAAGAAACGTGAAAAATTATTATCGTTTTAGAATTAGCAATGATCGGGTATCATGCAGAAACAATGCAATTCAATTGACAACGTACATTATAAAGTCTTTTGAAAATAGGTAAATCCAACAAAGATAAACAAGTTCGTGATCAAGGGACATAAGTCATAGTGCAGGGTCCCACGTTGCCGGTGGTGGCGCATGGCTGCGCGGGCGCATTGAAGACGTCTATGATCACTCTACAGGTAAGTGAGAGGACAACGTGCGCGGTCAAGGTAAGTGAGCAGATACCTGTTACCGATGACACCGCGCACTCAAGATTAATCTCCAATTTAAACACGACTTTGTGGCATACAAGTTATATCTTGGTTTATCTGCAGCATTAAATTGACATATAAAACAAAAAAAAGTTCTATCAATTTGAAGCCTTCATCTTAGTATCATAGAGTATAAAGACAACTTAGTATTAATCTTAACAACCAATTTGCAATTTAATTTAGTCTAAACGAAAGATCCTTGAAACTTACTTTCTCTGGTCAGGCTCCGGACGAAGAATAATAATTACTTATTCTGCATATTGCAAAGTTCATTGCAGTCAATAAATTACCAACCCATCAAAGCTTACAAATGACAGCAATAAACCTCAATTGAACTATAAAATCAACAAAAGATTCCAGCTGCTATTATTAAAGACAAAAACGAGGACTCAGACACGTTTCAGAGTCTGAAAGGGTTATGTTGACAATTATTGTTATAAGCAACACTGTTGTCTATGTTCACAAGCAATGTTCACAAACCTATCAAAATTAAAATTCTCTTCTTAAAATCTCTACTTTGTAAGATTTCAGAAGATATAATGATGATGATGCCTAATAGGCATCAAATCGAACCATTCTTGTTATAGCAAACTAGTAATATACTAAATCTCCAAAATACAATGTTATATATGACAACTACGATTAAAAATATGATAACAATTGAAATACAAAATTAAGAGTATACGGTAAGCATCTTCTTATTTTTATTTATTTCTGTTTACAAACTGGATTAGACACCTTGTATACTAAAGCAGAAAAATAAACTTACTAGACTGATACATAATTTAATGAACATATCTCCATAAAGTTATTATTCACATAAACAACAAACTTCTTCAGCAATAATGTATTTACACAGATGTATTTATTTATTATTTAAATGTACCTTTTTACTGTATAATGAAAATAAATTATATCCTATTTATATATCTAACAACAAAAGTACCTTCTATTTACGTAGTATTAATTGCTATAGAATACATAACTACTACGAATAAGTCAGGGCACATTACTCAAAACTAACAATATTCAGTACCGAACGATGTAAACATAAAACAGGTACATATTTATAGTTAAATTAGTTTGGGTCTTAATTAAATTAAACCGGTTTCTGCCCACTTGAATAATTAAATGCAAATATCCGCTCGTTTAGATATTACGTTATGTAAACAACAGCTCAAAGTGCGAAACAGATTTTGGAAGTAACATTATTATTATATGAACTAAGAGCGACTTCATCATCATTATCTCAGCCTGGAAGACGTCCACTGCTGGAAGGCCTCCCCCAAAGATATCCACGACATAAGAGCGACTTACCGACGACCAAATAAAAGATGGATAGATTATGTGAAAGATGGATATGCACAAGAGGAGAGTAAGCTCAGATGTGACGACGGATAAATGCAAGGCAATAATGATGATCTAGGAGCGACTGGCCTCCGATTAAGGTCGAAATAATATTATGTATAATCAAGTATATATTGACAGCCTTGGTGGTCTAGCGGTATAGCACACTGCCTAACTTCTGATGGTCGCGGGTTCGATTCCTCGCACGACACAAACATTTGTATTCATGAGTATGATTGTTTGTATCGAACTGGGTGTTTTCTATATATAATATGTACCTATGTATTTACTAAAATACATATATGTATGTATTTATCAGTTATCTAGTACCTACAAAACAAGCTTTAGGTAGCTTAACTTGGAACTAGATGGCGCTGTGTTAATTGTCCTGAGATTATTATTATTATTATATCTAGATATTCCTGCAAAAGTTATAACACAGTTAATAATACTTGATATTTAAATTCATTTTCTTGTATCTGATGACATTTACAAATGTTCATAATATTTATCTCTACTAAATCTTGTCGGTGATACTCCGTTTTCTCTCCTTATTTAGTAAAGTACCTAGCGTGATGATATAGATGAATAATATAAAGAGAACTGAGGTCAAGTCTTAAAAACTACGAAAGGCATCAATTTATATGCATCTACAAATGCCACTGGTACAATCAATATCTTTAATCCTTTTTCATTACAACAATTATCAATACCTTTCATTGGTTGGATTTCCAATCATTACTGTATTTAAGTATCGGAATGGGTTTATAATTATATTTGGAATTTCTTAATTAAAGATTCTAGCATTTAAGACTGCTAAATTAATCAGGGCACAATGCAGATTCCTAGGAACAAGTTTCAGTTATTTTAATTAACCACGTTCCGTAAGACCGATCCAATGATAGTTAATAATGTTTAAGAACTTACTTGCGTGACTGCCATTACATTTGCAAATCAAATTTAACTTAATCCGTGTATTAATTTTCAACAGACACCGGCAAGTGTCGTATGACCAAATGATTTATTATTACAGATAAGTGAAACGCGAGTTAATTAATTGAAATTGATACTATAGATTCCATTACAAAGCATTATTTTTACATAATATCTAATATTCCCATAAACTATTCTACGATATTG